AATGTTCATTGATTTGCAGCAGGGAAGTTAGGGTTAATTGTGATGAAAGCAGTACCCGTAGCTGGAGGGAGCAGACCATGACTGAAGAGATCGGATGAGTCTCTAGGTCAGGTCTAGCTAGAGGATCAGACAAAAAGAGAAATAACGAATTCTGGTATTGGATGAGGTTGGAAGTAGTTCGCATCTGCAGAATGGGAGAGGTTTGAGCACATGTGAACACTGGAGAAGAGGTGAATAGAGAAGGAACAATTGAAAACACTGGACAGAAATAAAGTGTGTGGTAGAGGGAGTCCGTGAAGGAAGTGGGGGGCAAGATTCAACATATAAGCAGAAAAACTGAGAAGGAAACAGAAGAGACTCCACTTACAGCATTTTCTAGCTTAAAAAATTTTTACATCTCTCTCTCTCTCTCTCTCTCTCTCTCTCTCTGTGTGTGTGTGTGTGTGTGTGTGTGTGTGTGTGTGTGTGTGTGTGTGTGTGTGGTGGAGGTCAGAGGACAATTTGCAAGTTGCAAGAAATTGGTTCTCTCCTTCCACTGTTCGGGTTCTTGGGCTGAAACTCACTCCCTAGACCAGGCTGGCCTTAAACTTGTGCTGATCTTCCTGACGCTGCCTCCCGAGTCCTGGGGTTTTAGGTGTGCAGAACCGTAACTGACAAGGAGTCTTCTTTTCCTTCAGTTTCTAGAACAACTGGTTCTATCTCTGGGTCTCTCCCTTACCCTTCCTCTGCCTTTAAACAGCCGTGTTCCTCAGGACTCCATGCTCTTCCCATCTGCATGACCCCTGTTACCACATTTGGATGATTTTAATCACCACTGACATACTGATGTGTCCAATTCTTTCTCCTGTCCAAACTCAATGCCCTCCAATCCAACTTCCCTGAAACTGAATTTACTATCTCCCTCCTTCCCATAAACCTGCTGTTTCCCTATGTTCTTCCTTTTAGTGGCACCATTGTTTACCCACCTACCCAGACCAGAGGCTGGGATCCCTAGTGAGCCTCCCTCCCTCCCCTCACTTTCCATATCCACTCAGCCACCAAGGTCTTTCCTATTTTCTTTCTTATCTCTTTTCCTTCAGACCGCACCTCACTGCTCAAGTTCAAGCCTCATCCATGTTTGCTTGCAAAAATTACAAAAACTTTGAGCTTCTCTTAGCAGAATTTCAGCTTCCAGCTGCCACAATATTCTTGCCAGCAAAACAAGCACAAAGCAGAATCTGTGCCTGCAAGGCAGTTTCTAAACTCTTTAAAATGCCATTCAAGCCCTGTCCTGTAAAGAATTGGTGCCTGACCCTTATTCAGCTTTATCACCTCCGCTTCCTCCCCCTCCAGCCTTTAAAATCAAAGAATACTGGGCTGAGCTAGAGCTAGGTAGTACGGTGCTTGCCTAGCAAGAGGGAGGCCGGGAGTTCAACCGTTTGCATTGCATTAAAAACTGGTGGTGGGGGGCTGGAGAGATGGCTCAGAGGTTAAGAGCACTGGCTGTTCTTCCAGAGGTCCTGAGTTCAATTCCCAGCAACCATATGGTGGCTCACAACCATCTGTAATGAGATCTGGTGCCCTCTTCTGGGCTGCAGGGATACATGCAAACAGAACACTGTATACATAATAAATAAAAAAAAAAAAAAAAAAACTGGTGGTGGGCTATAAACTTCCGTTGCTGGCCTTACCTCTTTCTTTCTGTGCCGATATCGCTCCCGCCAACATGGTGAACGTTCCTAAGACCCGCCGGACGTTCTGCAAGAAATGTGGCAAGTACCAACCCCACAAAGTGACCCAGTACAAGAAGGGCAAGGATTCTTTGTATGCCCAGGGAAAGCGGCACTGTGACAGGAAACAGAGCGGCTATGGTGGGCAGACTAAGCCTATTTTCCGCAAAAAGGCTAAAACGACAAAGAAGATAGTGCTGAGACTTGAGTGTGTTGAGCCCAACTGCAGATCGAAGAGGATGCTGGCTATTAAGAGATGCAAGCACTTTGAACTGGGAGGCGATAAGAAGAGAAAGGGCCAGGTGATCCAGTTCTAAGCTGATCTTGTTATGAAGACAATAAAATCATGAGCTTGTACTCACCTCTTACGATTGCAGTTGGTTTTGGGGGAGGGAATAAACAAATTCTCTGAAAAAAAAAAAAAAAACCTGGTGGTGGGAGAAGTAGAGGTGGAGAGGTGGCTCAGCTGTCAGGAGTATATACAGCTCTTGCAGAGGATCTGGGGTTCATTCCCAGCACCCACAGGAAGCATCTCACAACCCTCCCGTAACTCCAGCTCCAAGGGATTTTGGAGCCCTCTTCTGGCTTCCGGCATTTTTGTGGTAAGAATGCTTAAAGGTTGGCTTTCTTAGTGATTTTCACGAAGAAATATACCACCACTCACCATGCTGTTCAACAGAGCTCCTGTGCTGATTCCATCCACTGAAACTGTACCCTGTGCTAATTCCATCCACCGAAACTGTATCCTGTGCTAGTCACCTAACTTGCTCCTGACAATCAGCATTCCGCTCTACTTTTTCTTTAAAAAAAAAAAAAAAATTATTTATTCATGTATGTGAGTGAGTGCTCAGTCTTCGTGATTCCGCTCTACTTTTTCTTTAAAAAAAAAAAAATTATTTATTCATGTATGTGAGTGAGTGCTCAGTCTTCGTGCACTCCAGAAGGAATCGGATCCCACTACAGATGGTTGTGAGCCACCATGTGGGTGCTGGGAATTGAACTCAGGACCTCTGGAAGAGCAGTCAGGCACTTCTAACCACTGAGCCATCTCTCCAGCCCACCCCCCCCTCTACTTGTAAGAGACTATTTTACATTTGCACACAGATGAGATTATGCAGTGCTTGCCTTTCTGTGCCTGGCTTGTTTAACGTATCAACCATCTTTTCCATCACGATATCAACAAGACAGGATTTTAGCTATTTAAAAAAAAATTAAAATTTTTTTATGTGGAGCCTGGAGGGATGGCTCAGAGGTTAAGAGCACTGACTGCTCTTCCAGAGGTCCGGGGTTCAATTCCCAGTGCCCACCTGGCAGCTCACAATTGCCTATAACTCCAAGATCTGATACCTTCACACAGACACACATGCAGGCAAAGCATCACTGCATATATAAAATAAAAATAAGTAATTAAAAAAGTGTTTTATGTGTATGGGTGTTTTTGTCTGCATACATGTCTGTGTACCAAGTGGATGTCTGGTGCCCACAGAGGACAGAAGAGAGCAAAGGATCCCCTAGAACTGGAGTGACAAATAATGGTTGGCCGTGGGAATTGAATCTGGACTTTTCTGGAAGAGCAGTCAGTGAGCCCTCAGCCATTTTTTTTTTTTCATGGCTAAGCAGTTCTCCATCACTGTGTCTCTGTGAAGGGTCTTGCTGTGATAGCTCAGGCTGGGCTGGAACTTGTTATATAGACCAGGTTGGGCTTAAAACTCGCAGCAATCCTTCTGCCTCTATTCCTTATGACAGCTAACTCATCGGTTCTTCTAAGAAGCATTCCTTGGGCCAGTGAATGGCACAGTGGGTGAAGGTGCTTGCTGCCAAGGCTGACGACTTGAGGCTGCTTCCCGGGAATCATATTGGTGGAAGGAGAGAACCGGTTTCTGCAAGCTGTCCTTTGCCTGACAGGCACTCCCAATAAGTGAAAAAGGCTTCCTTGAAGGTTCTCTCTCAGAAATCTCACTAAAGCTACCTGTTTATCTGATGCCTCGCCCCAAGCTTACTAAACAAACTCAATGGCCGCAGGTTACTCTGTGCCTTTGTAATTCTTAGCCTATAACAGAACCCCTGGAAATGTTGTTAAATAGTTCTAGTCACTTCTGCTTTTGCTTGGTAAACTTACAGTTGCTTTCTGTTTTCTTTTTTAAAATATCCCCTTATCCCCCTTCTCTGTAAGAACTTGCCACTAGCTTCTGGAGACATTAGCACAGGGGAAATCAGAGCCAACAGAGAGGAAAAGACACAGAAGAGGCACACGCCCTACAAAGGTGCCCACCAGTCTTCTCTCTCCCCTATTTACTGGCTGCAACAGGAGGGACATGAGTCATTCCTGGCTGTGGTAACACCTGTTCCCTCCGGCCCTTGTAATTCAGGGAAAGACTTTAGTATGATATATAGATGGTATGTAAGGAAGGCCACTCTCCTGACTCCCATATAAAAGAGGGTTTCTGTCTCCCGAAAGAGGAGTAAAAAACCATATTCAGACAATTATAACTACTCTAATCTTCTCTGAGGAAGTAGTTGCCTAGAGTCTCCTGTGGTGTTATTGTGTTCCCCAAAATATTGTGCACCCTAATAAATTTATCTGGGGTCAGAGAACAGACAGCCACTAGATACAGAGGCTAGAAAATGGTGGCACTCACACCTTTAATCCTAGCATTCCAGAGACAGAAATCCCTCTGGATCTCTGTGAGTTCAAGGCCACATTGGAAACAGCCAGGCATGGTGACTCACGCCTTTAATCCCAGGGAGTGAGCCTTTAATCTCAGGGAGTGATGGTAGATAGCAGAAAGGTATATAAGGTGTGAGGACCAGGAACTAGAAGCATTTGGCTGGTTAAGCTTTTAGCTGGTTAAGCTTCAGGCTTTCGAGTAGCAGTTCAGCTGAGAGCCATTGGGATGAGGACACAGAAGCTTCCAGTCTGAGGAAACAAGACCAGCTGACAAGTTGGCCAGGTGAGGTTAGCTGTGGCTTGTTCTGTCTCTCTGACCATGTGGTTTCTGGGGATCTGAACTCAGGTCCTCACGCTTGTATGGCAGGCACGTTACTCACTGAGCCCTCTCTTCAGCTTCTAGAATGAACTGTTTGAGGAAACTGTTAACTCTTCCGTGTTCTGAGTATCGAGGTGGAGACTGCACACACCTCATTTGTGAGGCATGTCTAATAAATGGCACATGAGGAGGAGAAACCTCGGATGGGAAACCAAAAGCCACCGTCTCAGGGGTTGGTTGTGTGTGGGACTTTCCCTCCTGATGAACTAGATTCACCAAGAATAAAGTTCAGATTGGGCAAATCTCTGCATTATCGTTATAACTTGGCAAAAGGGTTTTATTGTTAAGTTTTAGAAGTCATGAACACTGGGCATGGTAGCTCATGTCAGCAATCTTGGAGTTCTGATGTCTGAAGCAAGAGTAAGAGGTCAAGACCAGCCTGGCCTACACAGGGAGACCTTGTCCCCAAACCAGAGACTAGAAACTCCATTTTGTGTGAATTTGGGGAGCTTCTCTAGAGAACTTAGTCATAAATAAAAGCATCTGGCTGGGTGGTGGTGGTGCACACCTTTAATCACAGCACTCAGGAGGCAGAGACAGGCGGATCTCTGTGAGTTCCAGGACAGGCACCAAAACTACACAGAGAAACCCTGTCTCAAAAAACCAAAAAAAAAGCATCTGGCCACACTGTCTTCTTGGGACTTTCGTTTTTTGTCTTTGAGACAAGCACAGTGTAGTGGTTTGACTGAGAAACGTCCCCCCAGGTTGAGGCATTTGGATGCTTGGCTCTCAGTTGTGGCACTGTTTAGGGAGGCTATACAATTGTGCAGCCTTGCTGGAGGAAGTCCATCACTAGGAGCAGGCTTTGAGTTCACAGCCTTGCCTCATTTCTGTATCACTTTCTGGTTTATGCTTATGGTTGGAGATATGATTTCTCAGCTTCTTGCTGACAGGCTGCCTGCTGCCATGCTTTCTATACCATTGTGGACTCTCGCTCTAGAACCATAAGCAAAGGGAAAAATAACTTTCTCATAGGCTGTTTTTGGTCATGTTTTATCCAATCAAGAGAAAAGTAGTAATACACAGGGTCCCACTCGAAAGCCCAGGATAGACTGAGAACTGAAATAATATTCCTGCCTCAGCCTCCCAGCTTCTGGGATTACTGGAGTGAGCCACCACACCTCACCAGTTTCCTTAAGACATCACTTAACCAGAACTTCCCATTGAGAGCAGTACCCAGAACCGTCATGAATCTTGAAGTTTCCATATGTGAAGTGGTACTGAAAATCCTTCAAAAACTCCCAAATGGCAATTCCTAAATATAGGGCAACCCAGAAGTCAAACACAGTTGTTTCACCTCTCTTGATAGCCATGTATGATGCCATTACCATATCTTCCATATTTATTACACAACTGACAAGAAAAACAACTTTTAGCACAAGAATGCCAATTTATCTCCCCGACCCACCCACCCATTTTTGGACACGTGAACACAAAATATCCCTGCAGACCAAAAAAAAAAAAAAAAAAATCCTTTTTAAACAAACAACCATCACCTTATCTCACACAGGGATACAAACCCTTCCTTAATAGCTTAGAAAGTACCTCGTATTGCTAGAAACAGACATCCAGTCCAAATTAATAAAATACATTTTAAAACATTACAACTCTAACCATAGAGAAACAAAAACCATACCATTAGTCAGATGAACAAACACATTTTCAGCCAGTAGACATAAAGAATATGAATATGTCAATAGCAAGGAAAAGAAAAATGGTTGGCCAATAAAGAGCTTTCCTTTAATTTTACAATAAAAAATTCTTGGAGTTGAAGCAATATTAATACAATGCCCTTAACCTCCGCTTTCTTAAAATGAAAGCTGAGCTGCCACCTTGCTAATGAGCAAGAGAATCTTATAGTATATCCACAGAGGGCCACTAGGGTAGAGAGGGTGAGCCTTGTTAAAAAAAACAAAAAACAAAAAACAAAAAACAGTGGATTACCTTTTCCATGTGAAGGAGTAGGCAGCTGAGCCAAGTGGGTAAGCTCTGCTATAGGATATAGGTTGGGCACCAGATTCTAAAATACAGACCATATAGGACATGCCTGCGTATAAATCATCACCTTTGGAAGCAGCATGTAGAATTTACAGTAAGAAGGAAAGTGGTTCGCCTGCCCAGAACGCTGGCTGCATCAAGCCAGCTGGTTCCCTTTATAAACAGCTCGGGATTCGACAACAACAGAATGTAATTGGTTCAACGTTCGGGTCTCCCCCACTCTTAGTGTCCCATGCTCCCTGGCCCAGAACTCTTGTTCTTCAGCGCTGCTGCAGTCTTCCACACTACGTGTCAGTGCCTAAACAGGCTGCGTCTAAAAAAACCAAACAGTCCAACACTACTTCTGGAGAATGCACACCTCCCGCTGATTGACACATGCATAACAATTCAGTTTCCAAGGGGGTAACTATTTGAATTGTTAACCCTAACTAAGTTTAAGCTATGCATTCAGATTTTTGCTGGTGATAGCATTGCTGCAGGTCTGATTCTGCAGGGATCACCTCTTAACTACTCCTCCCTTGGCAAGTTTTCCCCCAACAATCCTAATGCTTCCATATTTCTTTCCATTTGTCTACAACAACAGCATCACACCCTTAATGGTACTGTTTTCCTACAAAAGTTGGCCTCCTGGCTTTTCTTCCACCACCACGCAGATTGGTCCCAGCATACTAGGACAGACTGAGGTGTTTCAGACATTCTGTTCGAGGTCAAGTATAGAGCCCAACTGCAGACAAGTGGATCGGGGCTTCTGGGCACCCAGCTTGCTCCCTGTTCCATCATGCAGGAAGATGGCATGAGTTTCTTCTGTGCATTGTTAACCGGCGAGCCCGAGGCACTCAAGTGCGGGTATGGTGCCCGCTGGCCAGCCAGCCAGCCAGCCAGCCACCAAGTTCCCATCACAGGCTCCAGGCGAGTCCTCCTCCTAAAAAACTCTCTTTTTTTCCTCCTCTTGGGTCCACAGTGGCTGTGCTGAAGCGTATTTTCTGTGCTCTCCCTGAACAAGTGTGAATAAAAGTGGCAGTCAGCCACTCATCAACATGTCCTGATTTGTATTATCCAAGTGAGGTATTTGCAAAAAAAAGGGAAAATCTTAAGGAGCGAGCATCCGCCGTCTCTTCACGCCTCCTAGCTGTGCTTCAGCCACAGGACTTGCTTCTCCCCACTGTCCGCAGGGACTAAGGATGTCTGCACTCATCCTCATGTGCTACAGGACTTGGTGGACATTATAAAACTCTCTGGGAGACCAGCTCAGCCAATACTGGTGGCACTGCTGAGCAACAGCACATGGAAATGTAAACATTAATGTATTTACAAGCTTGTATAAAAGACTGAAGGAGAACAGTGCTTCATATTGCTGGCATTTTGAGAAGGCTAGTTTAACAGATTTGGACCTTGGACCAACCAATGAGTTCAAGCAAACACCCTTCACCATCTGATCCAGTGTTTCTCACCAACAGTTTCTAGAGACGACAGAATTGTTTTAGTATATTGTGCCTGTCTCTTCCCCAGCCCCTTCCTCAGCCTTGAGGAGTGAGGCTCTCCAGAGAGCCTCCTACCTTTCACTCCTTGCCCTTCCGGGACAGAGTAAAACGTGGGCTGGCAAACCATGGGTAGAACTAACTACCTAGACTATGTAACGTGGTCCTTTACAAAAAAAGTTATTATCTACACTAACTACAGAATACATCTCCCCTATGTTCTAACTGATGCTTGCTTTACATCAACTCCCTTTGTGGGACAAGAAAAGGAGTCCTGTCTTCCTATGAGGGAATCCAGAATCTACAGAAAAGGGGAAAAAAAAAAATCAACTTCTTCTACATAGTTTTAGGTGAAAAAGAGGACGGCAAAGCCCCCCCAGCACATTTCAGGCTGAAAGAAGAGCAAACAGAACTGTACTGTATTCAGCTGTGTGTACAGCCTTGATTCCCAGGGAAAACGAGGGTTTTACATGCTGGTACTTTTTTTAAGTGCAGCATCCTCAATGTGCCTTATACACTGGCAAAGCCTGGCCAATCAGGGAGCATCCTGATTCCAGCTTATTTTAAAAGGAAAAAAAAAAAAGTGACAGGACACAGACTATGACTATAAAATAGGTTAAAAAAAAAAAACCCAAATAGTTATTTTAAAGGGCATGGAAATACATGTGTTTCAGAATATTTAGGTTATGATATATTAAGAAATAGTTGATAAAAATCATAGTAAAATTTCATCTAGAAAACTACCTCGTTGGGGAGAAAGGGGAGGGGTTCTTAAAAACACTTATTGCCAAAGTTAACTTTCTATGAGAGAAGTCTAAAAATCATTTAGAGCTAACCAACCACATAGCAGCATAAAATGGGCACTTTCAAAAACCTGGAAAAATACTAAAAGTTTTTTTTTTTTTTTTTTTTTTTTTCAAATAGGGAGGAGAGCTTTTACTTTTTACCATGGCAGTGTTAGGTGTCCCTGTGACAGGCATCACACCTGCTCATGTCAGTCACCAAAGCCAGCCAAGTAAGAGAACTGCCTGTTCGAATCTGCAGCCAAATATAGTGCAATTGTCGGGCAGCCTGTTCTCCACAGCACAGGCCCGAAGAGATCAGTAAGATAAAGCAGTGGAAGTAATAAAATTCTGTAAAACTTTCAAAAATTAATGCTCCTTAAAGGCATTTACAGTGGTGAAGTCAGAAATCTCCATTAAAAAGTCTATGGACCCACCCAGTTAAAAAGTTGCGTGGAGCCGGGCGGTGGTGGCGCATGCCTTTAATCCCAGCACTCGGGAGGCAGAGCCAGGCGGATCTCTGTGAGTTCGAGGCCAGCCTGGTCTCCAAAGCGAGTTCCAGGAAAGGTGCAAAGCTACACAGAGAAACCCTGTCTCGAAAAACCAAAAAAAAAAAAAAAAAGTTGCGTGGAAATGAAACAGGTCGTTTGGTTTTTCTCTCCCACTTATGCATACACCCCAGTCAATGAACACAGGAAAAAGGAAATACTCCTCTTATAAGACTAGATGCGGTGAATACCACAGCTAGCAAAATATCCCATAGAAACCCTCCTTGGAAAGTAAGTCCTTTAGAAAGTAAAGGCTGATCAGCCTTTGCACATTGAGGTAAAAATTGTCCAGTGCATCAGAAAACATAATCGATGAGTTTCTATTTCTTTTTTTTTCCTTTTCTTTTTCTTTCTTTTTTTTTTTTTAAATGGCTCAGTTTTGATGATGCATCAGACAGGGCTGCAAAGTATAGATTCAGTGCAACTATCTATTCCAAACTGCTGGTAGGGACCACTTGAAATCAACGTGGCACTATCTAGAGGCAGTAGGCATCTGAAACATTTGAGGATGTGTAGGATGCCAAATTGGTTGAGTTCTTTTCCAAGACTCTCAGGCAAAATACATAGTGTGCTGAGTATCGTGGTGGATCTGCACAGCCTTAGCCAAGGCCTGAGGGTCCCGGCCGTTGCTCTGTCCTGACACATGACTGCCTTCCGCACTATAATGAGAACAAAACAAAAAAAACAGGTGTTAAGAGAAGACTACGTCCAACTTCAGTTTTTCAGATAGCACAAATAGTACTAGATTCAAGAATATCTTGAGCTCAAGCTGGGCTACTCAAACAATTTTTCCTTAGACATGCTTGTTCAACTGAAAAATATAGTACGACTTATTTAATGGATGGTTGCAATAATTAAATAATATTCACAAAGACCAGGTGTTTGATAGGACCTGCATAAGGACTTCTACTGTCCCTTCTGTCTGGCTAGTTCCTACTCATCCTTCAGGCTTCAATTACAAGTCATTTCCCTCTTCGAAATCTTCGCTGACTCTCAAGTTCAGGTCAGGGTCACCTAGAATATGTTTTCATAGACAGTTCTTCTTTCCTTTTTTAGTACTAGACACAACCAAAATGAAATTGTTAATTGGGACATTACTAGGTATTATTGGATATATTTTTTTTTCTTCACTGGAATGAAATCACCAAGAGAGGAGCATCCTTCTCCTCTTCCCCCTCCTCCCCCTCCTCCTTTTTCTTCTTCTGAGACAGGATCTTACTATGAAGGCTTCACTGGCCTCAAACTCAAGAGAGATCCACCTACCTATGAGGTGTGCACCTTCATGCCTGGCTTAACTTCGTTTTTACTTGCTAACAATGCTAGTTTCCTAAATTAATGAGTCTACAGACCTAGCAGAGTGCTCACAACTGTAAACACCCATCTTCAGGGTGGGATCATGTAACATAGGAGTCTGGCACACCATCTCTTTTTTAGTGCTGCAGAGTCAGTCTAGGGCTTTATGTATGCTAAGCACAACACTCACCACGGAGCTACACCTTGGCCTCTGACCTCTCTTTAAATGCTGATTACTATCCTAATCACCTTTGACTTCATCCTTTCCTCCCCCACTTACTTGATTCTATCCCAGGAAGAGCGTTTTACATCTAGCAAGGACAATCTTATTCTAACACAGTTTTCTGCCCCATGCCTGCTGTTCCCTTTTAACATGCTCCAGCCAAAGAAAACTTGCTACTGTCCAAAACTGTCACTCCCTTTCTCCTTTATGGCCACTGTCCTCTCTGCCTGGAAAATCCTCTTTCCTTTATAAAGCTAAGCCCTGCTCACCCAGCTGTAAAATCCTTGCCAGCCTTTCCTCTGATATCCCACTGCAGTTATCTATACTGAGTTAGACTAGCTGTCGGTTTTACATTTGCCTTTATTATCTCCATATTGAAACATAAAATCCCTGCAGGCAAGAAACATGGCTTACTAATCTTGTTATTTTCTAGTACCCAGCACAGTATTGGGCACACAGTAGCAAATAAATGTATTAAATGAATGAATGTATATTGGAGAATGCAAGGCACAAAGCCACAGCTGGGCCTTTTCTGTGATAGTGTATTTTTTAATCCCTTACAGAAATAGACTTGCAGTGGAATGTCTACTATTTAGCAACTGAATTGAGACTTGGGGAAGAGCCCAGAAACTACTACACTTGACAGATTGCCATTTGGGAAAGAAAATTAATGCAAAGAGCTTTTTTAGCCACCATTTATTGGCAGCTCAGTAATAGGTCAAAATGTCTGAGTCCCTTGAGATCCCTATCTGGGAATGAGGATAGTCACCCCTTCTGTTTCCTCATAAGCCCTGGCTCACTTCGGTCATTTCTGGATTGTACTGGAAGCAAAATGAACTAGGTGGGACTCCCTCATGCATGAACGAGAATTCACAGGTTCTGACTACTCTGACAGGAGTCAGGGTGCTGTACTGAGCACCTTTTGAGGCTGCCTGAGACCTCAGCAGAACTGAAATGTAGTTAGCTCTGCATGAAAACCACAAGCAGCTCCAATGAGACACTGCTAGAGACACAAGTTTAAACAAGCCTGAGCTCTTCTTGGACCGAAAGTCACACTGAAAGCTCTCAAAGCCTCATGCACTTCTAATTTGCCTTGCAGGTTAAATCTTTAAGAGTTTTCTATATAGCTTGTTTTTTAAAACATGCTTCCACAACAGGAAGAGATTTTTGTTGAGGAACTTGCCTGTCATGATCTTTATCCACCAAATGATACCTTGCCCGAAATGCTACCAGCCGGGCATAATATGCAGGGGCAGGAATGGAGACCGAGCGCGTGCACCTCACGTAGGTGTGACAGAGCTGGTAAGTCAGTAGCTGGAGTTCATCTGCAGTGAAGCAGTTGTCATCCCACAAGACCTGGTAATGTGAAGGACGGCTGGTTCCCTGGAGGGAGAGTTTTAGGATTAGTGTATTTCGTAGGACCTGGCTAGTTAGGAGAAAAGAACTGAAATCTAACTATTAAGCTCAACAGTATCTCTGCCTCACCCACCTACAAGATCTCTAGAGCAGGGCAGTTAACAAAGCTTAAGCACAGTGTTTAATGACAAGTCTCCTCAGGCTAGATGCCGAACTGGCAAATATCTCCCTATCAGGTCAAAGATCTGGAACAGCTTCCAAATTACCTGAATTCCTGCATGACTACAGAGGTAAAAGTCAAACTCAGATGGATGTGTGATGGTACTGTCCACCGTAGTGCCTGCTGGGACATTGCCACTTTTCCCCACCTGTTAAAAAGATATGTACAGTTAATCATCTGAGTAACATGCTTGTTTAAGGCCATTTTTTCCATTGATGCATTAATTAGTAATAAGTTAGAAAATTGCTCTTATGTGAAGTCTCAAAACTAGATTAATTCAAAATGTTAAGCCAGACCTCTCTTTAAATTTTTTGGTTTTTTGAGACAGAATTTCTCTGTGTAGCTTTGTGCCTTTCCTGGAACTCACTTTGGAGACCAGGCTGACCTCAAACTAACAGAGATCCGCCTGGCTCTGCCTCCCGAGTGCTGGGATTAAAGGCGTGCGCCACCACTGCCCCTAAAGCATTTTCTAAAGCACGTCTCCAGAGCCTCTTCTGGGGAATCTAAATAATGACTTTATCTATGGTTCTGTACAGCAATATTGCCACATATTTATAGATGACAGTCTGTATGCAGAGAAGGGGGAACAGCATTTAAGGAATGAGAATGTAGCTCAGTTGTAGAGTCCTTGCTTAGCGTGAACATGATTTCGACCCTGGGTTCAAGCCCCAGCACCGCAACAAAGAAAAACTCTGAGATAGATAAACATCCCCGGAAGCAATGACTTTCATTCCTCATTTGAGAGAAAAATAACCACACACGGCTTTCAGCAAAAGATAAGATGAAGATCTTTGAACTGGTTCACCATGTTCAGCAAAGCTCATACTCTCATGGGGTCAGTCACAGAAGTTCCCCTGCAGAGGTTTTCCGAAAGCTCCAGCTGAGATAAGGAATGAGAAGACAGCTCAGATCCAGGCCAGGCCTCAAGGCCACACACCTTGAACAGAGCCTCAACCTAATCACCTATCATATCTGGTGACAACCTTTTCTAAAATTCTAAGGTTCTCCAAAAACCAAAATCAAACTTCTAGAAAGGCAGAGGGGGACTCCAGAATGCACCGAACAGCAGCAGAATTAAATCTTGTTCCTCAGCCTGTGTCTTCTGTTGTTCAGGAGAATGTAATGAGAAAGTGTAATTAGCCCAGAGGTACACGGTCCCATGGGTTTGACTCCTTTCTTACTACTATTCCTTCCAGCTATGGAGCACATAACAATACATAAAACCTGGAGTATGGAGAATTCTTCCTTCAAATTCCGATTAAGCTTAGGTATCTAGCCAAACCAGAGAGTATCTCCTGCTTGTCTTAAGCTAAGGTTTCAGTTACTTGTGGTCAGCCAAGGTCCAGAGCACTCCTACAGCGCAATGGAGAGCCCTTGAAGACTTCTGAGCAGTGGGCCGTGTTTTAGAAGCCAGCCCGGTAGCAGGAAGGGGAGCAATGGCAAGGAACAGACTGCTGGGGTCCCGGCCCGACAGATATGCTCTGCCTGGGTAATGGAGACACATGAACTCGAGGTGAGAGGTGGGGCAGCACACAGGACACCATCCGACAGACTGGACATGGCGGGGACACCAAGGCAGGAAAGAATTTAAAAGTGGCTCTCAAGTTTCCAGTTTGGCTAGCATAAAGCACAGTGATGCCAGTAACAGAATCTAAGGAGAACCAGGGGAGGTTCTGGATGGGGATTAAACAGTAAGTGGGAAGTTTGGACGTGTTTTGCTTGACATGCCTATGGTAGACTGAATTACTGGTGCCAAATATTTCTGTGCCCCTCCCTGGGGGAAGATTATACAGTTCCACCCAGCTATCACAGGAGCGGCCATGTGAACTGCTTTGATGATAAAATGTGGCACTTCTGGGCAGAAGCCTTAAGGGCTAGCATACGGCTTGTCTTGTGTCTCTTCCCTCCCGCCACAGTGACTGGCAAGGTTCCAGATGGGCTCTGTCAGCCTAGGTTCCAAAGGGAGGACAGAAGGGTCACAGCTGCAGCAGGGCCACAGCGACGGTGTGATGTGAGCAAGAAATGAATCTTTGTCAGTCACAAGGAAGGGTTCTTGCTGTTATCACCACCACACAGCCTGCTCTGCGGAGATGGAGCCAAAGCGCAAAGCACCTGAGTCAACGTGTCTGGTAGATAACTCAAAGCACAAATCAGGAGTCTGAAAGAGCAATCTAGGGTAGAAATATGGATTCAGAGTTGATAAGCAAGTAAGCCTAGAAAAGTGGATGGAGCTGAAAACAGTATTGAAAACAGGAAGAGGGGCTGGAGAGATGGCTCAGAGGTTAAGAGCACTGACTGCTCTTCCAGAGGTCCTGAGTTCAATTCCCAGCAACCACATGGTGGCTCACAACCATCTGTAATGGAATCTGGTGCCCTCTTCTGGCCTGTAGTCATACATGCTGTATACATAATAAATAAATAAATCTTTAAAAAAATAAATAAAAAAGAAAACAGGAAGAAGGGGCAATGAGGGACTGGAGAGATGGCTCAGTAGTTAAGAGCACTTGCTGCTCTTTCAGAAGACCTGGGTTTGGTTCCCAGCACCCACACTCCTCACACCCATGTGTAACGCCAGTTCCCAGGAATCTGCCCCCCTCTCTAAAGACCTCTGTGAGCACCACGCATGAATGTGGTACACATACATACACGAAGCAAGACACTCATATACATAAAATTAGATAAATCTAATTTTCTTTCTTTCTTTATTTTTTTAAAGATTTATTTATTTATTATGTATACAGCATGTATGACTACAGGCTAGAAGAGGGCACCAGATCTCATTACAGATGGTTGTGAGCCACCATGTGGTTGCTGGGAATTGAACTCAGGACCTCTGGAAGAGCAGTCAGTGCTCTTAACCTCTGGGCCATCTCTCCAGCCCGAATCTAATTTTCTTAAGTAAAGATAATCTGACTGCAGAGGTGAGTACAAAACCTGGAAAGTCATATTGTCATAAGTGTGGCTAAGAGGTCAGTGTGGGAATCTGACCTGGCTGGAGATGAAGACACAGAGGCAAAATTTCAGTTCTCTCTTGAACTCCCTACTTCCTGAAAAATCAAAGTATGAAATTTGTTGTGATGGTACACTTGACAACAAGCCAAGTGATGATTCTTCTAAAAGGAAATTTACAAAAGAGAAAAAAAGATGAAATAGCAAGTGAGAGGGAGAAGCAGAGGTAACAGATGTTTATTGGGGGAACTGGAACTGAGGAAGAATTGAACGACCTTTGTAATAGGAGAAGGCAGCCATGGAATAAGAAAGATGAGGGTCTCTGAGCTGGCTCTGTGGCTGATGACCTGCACTCTATCTCTGACCTACAAACACCTACACACTAAATTAATTAATTAAATACAATTTAAATTTTGTAAAAGACTGAGAAAGACTTTAAAAAGAATCGTTATGAAGTGAGGCTCTAGAAAAGGCAGAAAGAGTGGAGTCAAAAGCACAGATGGGGAGATCAGCCTGAGATTTGAGGAAGGAGATAATAAAAGCACAAAAATCACACTTGAAAGGAGAGGGTCGGTAACTGGAAAAATCCATGCCTTCCAGGTCCCATCTTCCCAGAAAACAGAAGGTAGGATTCGGAAGGCAGCTGTGCTTGCCACTGTACTGGCAGAGCAGAAATAGTTTTTTGTCAGTGTTAAGACATCAAGGATAGGACTCAAAAAAAAAAAAAAAGATTCGAGACAAACACTTAAGGGGAATAGAGCAAAGAAAACAATCACAGCATTTAAGGTTTAAGGTTTGCTCTCACGTGTCTATAACACGGTTCACGAATACGTAAGTGATGTTCAGCCAGCAACTCCCATCAGCCTGAGAGAAGCAAAGCAAATGAGCAAGTAGATACATTCTGGAGTTGGAAGCAGGCAAGAGGGCATGTTCAGAGAACTGGAGAAGCTGTTCAGGGTATAAAGTAAACTAAAGAATCAGAACTGTCAATCCTGATGATTGAGAGCTATAGGAAAGAAAGATAATTCAGGGTCTGGAAACAGCTCCATGGTAAACTGCTCCCTACCATATTTGAGGTTCCATTCCCAGCACTGGGGTTAGGAGGTAAGTAATCCAGGTCCTAGATTTCCTCTCCACTCCACAGTAAACTGCAAAGACAGCACGTTTAAAGTGGAGCAGAGAGGAAGCCATGGCAATAAAAGAGGGGTGACAGACAAGAAAGCATTCAGATAATCTGTATCATCAAAATCTAAGAAATATTATTGAGTCAGAGTTTGAACAACTAAAGGACAAGGATTTAATATAAACCGACTAGTAGATCTGGGGACAGTGGGAAAAAGCTCGGGTTTTCCATGATACACAAAACAACTCATCTCATCCTTGGAAAAGAGACAGTTTTTGTCCTAGAAAACAACTGGAGGAGCCAGCAAGCTTACATGATTAAGCAACAGAAAAGATCTGGTCCTTCCTAGGCCTAGACAAAATGAAATAATGTCATGAAAAACACCCCAAAAGCAGTCATCCAATATAATGTTCTTGTAGTTTACCCAAAAGACTAAAATAAAGAAAGTAAGCTAAGCACTATTGTTAACTACAGATGTCATGTGACAGCTGCCTCCAGCTCCTGCCACCGTGACTTCCCATCATGATGGACTGCACCCTCAAAGTCTGAGCCAGAGTGACGTTTCCATCAGATGTTTACTTACAGTGATAAGAAAAGAAACTCGCCAGGCGGTGGTGGCACTCAGGAGGCAGAGGCAGGCGGATCTCTGGATTTGAGGCCAGCCTGGTCTACAGAGTGAGTTCCAGCACAGCCAGGGATATACATAGAAACCCTGTCTCAAAAAAACAAAACAAAACAAAAACAAAAAAGAAAAGTAACTAATATACAATTCCCCAAACCCTCTCTCCAAAATTCTAGAAACCAGCATTCTTGTCACAAGAGAAAAATTCAATCTCTTTTTGTTTTTCAAGACAGGGTTTCTCTGTGTAGCCCTGGTTGTCCTAGAACTTATTCTGAAGACCAGGCTGGCCTCAAACTCAGAGATCCACCTGCCTCTGCCTCCCAAGTGCTGGGAATAAAGGAGTGTGGCACCACCATCCAGCAAGAAACATTCATTCTTTTTTTTTTTTTTTTTTTTTTTTTTTTGGTTTTTCGAGACAGGGTTTCTCTGTGTAGCTTTGTGCCTTTCCTGGGACTCACTTGGTAGCCCAGGCTGGCCTCGAACTCACAGAGATCCACCTGCCTCTGCCTCCCAAGTGCTGGGATTAAAGGCGTGCGCCACCACCGCCTGGCAAAACATTCATTCTTAAAACTCCTGTTATCCAGAACTTGTCACCTAAGTTCGACTGCAGTTAATATAGTTATTAAATTATCATTAGACATGGCCAGTTCTAGAGGAATACCGTACACATCTAGTCAGAACCACACTTGCTGCCACACAGTCAGATGAGGAAGTTTACAGCATGACTTCTTACCCTTTCTGTTTTATCTGCACAGAAGAGTCGAGTGTGATGTCTCTTTTGCACCACAATGTAGGTTATTCCAGGCCGATAGTCTTCCTCCAAGCTTATACATGCCTTTCGAATTGCTAATAGCTCCGGCCAAGCTACCTAGGAGACAGAAGGGGGATTTTGTTTCACGGAGGTCTCAGCTCTCAAGTAGCAGACTGGAGGGTGCTCTGTCAGAGTGCTGGGAGGATGGCGCTGGGCTGATGGGAGCACCTGTTTCATCTGTCCCTCGGACACCCCTCCACGGTAGTAGATAATACGAGTGGGCTTGAAGCGTGTGGACTTGTAGAACTGAATCAGTAGCTCCCGAGTCATGCTTGTCAGATCCTGCACAACCTCCTGACTGTAGAGGAGCTCCTGAGCAATCTCCTGCCGAGACGTCTGCACCCGAACTGTGGCACAATACCGGCTGGGGTGGCCGTCCATGCTGCCCACCACAGCTGCGATAGAAGGCTTCTTTCCATCCCCAGCAGGCGGATGAGTGACATCTGCTCCCAGGAAAATGACAGGCTGCTGGAACACTGAAGGCCTGTCCAGATTTAAGAAGACAGTGTCATATGGGTGCAAATCTTTTGAGTCTAGAAAAACATATCACCAAGATAACTGTAATCTTAGACAAGAGGACCTATGCCCATTAGGAAAGAACATTAGCCTTCCAAACCCAAATCTCTTTAAGTTGTGAAATTTAAAGAAAAGAGAATCAAGTCCATTTTTCTGTTTTATTTTTATACATAATATTTATCACTTATATCACATATTTACTTATTTTTATTTGCACACACAGACCTATATAATCCCTACAAGAGAAGGAATTTTGTTACATCTTGGTCATTACTAGTACCTAGAACATAGAACATTCCTTAGCTCATACTTGGCAGTTGGTAAATATTTGTTGAAAATACAAATTCATTCAGTGTCATTGATTCCTCTATCTAAGGAATCAAAGAAAAGTATGAATAGTTTTCTGATAAAAGCTAGTCAAAAAAATCCAGGTGTGGTGCTGTCTATAACTCAGAACTCATGTCAGGAGGTGGGAGCAGGAGGATAAGGAGTTGAAGATCACCTTTGGCCCTGTAAAGAGTTCAGTTCAAGACCAGTTTAGTATACATGAAACCCAATCTCAAAAGGACATAATCCATACATGATGACACATACCTACAGTTCCTAATACTTAGGCAGGCAGATTTTTGAGTTCTAGGCCAGTCTGGTCTATATAAAAAGACCTTGTCTCAACAAATAAATGAATTTTTAAAAACACATAAGAGAATAAAGAATGTACAAGGCCAGAATCCGAGCCTAAGAAGGTATATCAGGGGCTGGAGAGATGGCATGGTCAGGGTTAAGATGGTAGATAGCTCTTCCAGAGCATCTGAGTTCAGTTTCTAGCATCCACACTGGGCAGCTCACAGCACTACAACTCCAGCCCCAAGGGATCTGACATCTCTAGCCTCTGTGAGCACTTGTACTGGTACCTTCATGTGCACATGATAACACCTCTGCACACATGCGTACATAATTTAAAAATATATAAGAAAAAAGAAGTTGATACCAAATAATAGGTCCTAAGCCCCTAGGTCATCATATTATCTCAAATATTTGGAGTAAAACTCAATGGTTCCAGACTTTAGGTTAACTTCACCTGTGAACTACATGCCTCATTACCAATGTTTCAGGAAGAATTTAGTTATCTAGAACTTACACTCACAGACAAAGAGATGAGAACTGTGTGGAAGGCATTCAGCTTTACCTTCTGCCCAATACATCAATGGCCAAGGCTACAAGGGCTACAGCCCTTGGTATAACTTTTCAAATCACTTTCACATCTAAGATTTCATATAAAAATGTTATCATGGAACTGAGGACCAGATAGCTTAAAAATCCACATGGGCAGAAATACCCAAATCTTTCAATCCTCATCAGTACTCTGTTGACAATAGCACTATCTTGCCTTAGTGTTTGGTTACTCCAGAACCAATCCAACAAGTTCAATTTTTTAAAAAAGCCTATCACTTGGAGTGGAGAACACTCAGTCTCATTAGGAATCCCTGAGGCCTGGGGATGTGGCTCAATGGTAGAGGGCTGATGTAGCTTGTTTGATATCCCACAGCAACAGCACAACAAAATGTTCCTCAAAAGTCTCTATTTAGAAGAGCTGGGGGAGGGAGGAAAGAAGGAAGGACAAAATAGAGCATGCTACACCAGTGATTCCATTTATAGGCAGGCCAATAGGTAAAAGCAATCTATACTGGCAGGTCAGAAGAGCTGTTTCTTGTGGGTTATCTGTCTGAGGATAATCCGGGTTTCACATAAGAGGCAAGAGCTGTGCCAGTAAGCTACAGTCCTGGCCCTGGGAGTCATCCATTTGGAGTGGGAAGAGAAAGCCTGATAGAGTCTGGAAACACTCTAAGTCTTCGTGGTGGTGGCTACGTGGGTTACACAACACTACCTAAGAAACAGTCGCTCACTGAGATGCGTATTTGAGATGTGTGGTTTGTTGGTTTGCCCTGGTGGGAACGGAACCCAGGGTCTTGCATCCACTAGGCAAGTGCTCTACCACTCAGCTACATCTCAGACCTTGGTTTTGTTTTGTTTGAGATAGGGTCTCACTGTATAACTTTTGTCCTGGAGCTCACTATGTAGATCAGGCTGGCCTGGAACTCATAGACATTGGCCTCCTTCAGACTCCTGAGTGCTGGGATTAAAGTTTGTACCATCACACCCAGCTAAATCCTTGGTTTATCTTTTTCTTTTTTTTGAAACAAGGTCTTGCTATGTAGCCTAGACTGGCACGGAATCCACAATACTCCTGCTTTATTTTCCCCCAGTAATGGTGTGTACCACCACATCTGGCTGGAAGGGTGTCCTTTATCATAAATCACATAATTTAGATTTTTAAATAAAAGTGGGAAAAACAAGTCATGACCTTACCTTTGATGAGGTACAAGTACATTGTTAATTCCTCCAAGCTTTGCGTTTATCTTCAGGCAAAGGTTGGAAAGGGTTTGGGGTGAGGTCTTCACAACATTTTTGACCTGGACACACTGTGTAGCCATACCTAAAAGGGTATCTCCAACACGCTTCACCTCCGCTATAAAATAAGTCAATAAATCAGTTTGCTCTAAAATGCTTAGTCACCTAATGTGAGTAAAGGAAAAAGTACTGAACATTAACATTCACAGACTACACAGTGCTAGGCGCAGGTCAAAGGTGCAGCTCCCTTTCCTGCCTTGCTGCAGCTCTGGAAACCAGCCCACTTCCTTATTCTTTGGGTGCTGCCTGCTGCCACTTGCTTAGTCCCTTAAGAGTTCCTCTTCCTCAGAAATGGCCTGGTAAGGAACTAATCCCCTGGTTCCTCCCTCCTCAGAGCACACACCAGCCCTTTGAATTTGACCTTTCTCTTTGTCTAAACTACACAAGAGGTAGACAAAAGCAGCAACGAGAAGAAGGTCGGGGATGTTGGTCTTCACTCGAGGGTGACCAGAGAAGCCCGTGTCACTCTTCCACACAGACACAAATGCAGCACATCCTCTTCTGGAAGAAGCAGCCCTCACCCCACTGCTCTGTATTCTCCCCACTCTGATGATATTCTTAAGTGCTTTTCCCCAGAACAGTCTACAACTTCCAGTTCCCTGGACTATGGAAGCCCTACCCAGCATTTCTGCCCCATGTCTAGTCACCTCCTCCCCGCAGGCTGGGTAAGGCCTTATGGCTGGTTATATCCACAAACATGGTGGCAGAAACCTTGTAAACAGTGTCTGCTCTACCAAGTTGGGTCTTGGAATGAGAAGGATGTGGTTATATGGAGCAGAGGCCACTGTCTATCATGGATAGACACAAAAAAGGAACCGGTAATAAATCTTGGCCGGGATGTGGCTCAGCTGATAGAGTACTTCCTACCATGTATGAAGCCCTGGGTCCGACCTCCTGTACCATACAATCAGGTGCAGAGATTCATTCCTAGAATCTGAGCAGTGGGAGGTAGAGGTGGGATTCAAGGTTCAAGGTCATTCTCTACCACAGAATGACTTCAAGACTACCCTGACCTACATAAGATCTTGTCTCAACAAGAGAGAGGAGGGGAGGGGTAGAGGAAAGAAAAGAAGTAAGTGTTGCCATGTTGTATCTCCCCAAGTAAAGCACTCTAGCACTAAGCTGTCCCCTCTACACACACGGGCTGTCTCTGTGTCTTAGACCACTGAGAACGGAGTTGGAACTGTGGCATCACCTAGCTTATCCTGTCAAACCTGGGACTTGAAATCATCCCTCATTCAACATTAAAACAGTTCATACCATATACTGGTGTCTTTCCAGGCAAGATAACCACTATCAGCTGCAGGCCCACATATGTCATTTTCAGATGTTTAAACATGGGCTCCACACTGTCTGCACCTTGTGCGTACTTGCAGAAACATGGCTGACCCTGGATGGGCATTCCTGCATCCTTGGAGATTTTACGAAGCTGGTCAGTGAAACTCCTGTTAAGATAGAACCAGTGGCACAGCGCTTTCATTTTCACATGTAAACAAACAAACCAAAACTTTCAGCAGTTGCCAAAAATAGATTGGCAGTTGTACCACTGCAATTATAACAGAACAATCTGTATTAGCACACTACGAAATCATCAGTTTGAATTTTAATTACTATTTTTTGTGGTATCAGAAATTAAACCCAGAGCTTTAAATATGGCAAGCAAACATTCTACCACTGAGCTATATCTCCAAACCCCATTTTTTTAATTTCTAAAAAATTACGGTTCAGCTGAGACTTAGGGACTAGAATAGCATTTATAATCAAAAGATTGTTAAAAAAATAATCAAATAAGTAATTCAGAAACGAAAAAAGGATCACAATTTTAGGTAACACTTATTTTGGTAAGGCTGGTAAAATAGGAGGTGAGCTCGTGTTCAACTGAGAACATGTGAATGTAAGTTTAGAATTAGAAAAAAACTTGTAATAGGTTTGGTTCAATAAATCAACATTAATTTTTTTCATTTTGAAGTTTTAAATTTTGAATTTAAGAAATTACCTGAAATTTGCTGTGCAGACCAGGTTGGCCTCAAACTCAGAGTTCCACCCGCCTCTGCCTCCCCAGTGTTGGGATTAAAGGTGAGTGTTGCCACACCTAGCCTCAACATGACTTATTTTGTATATTTGCTAACATCTTGTGGGATTCCTTTTTTTCACCCCAGTTCTACTTCTTGATTTTCTTTACCCTTCTCATGGATTTCCTTACACAGAAGGAAGGAGGTGATACGATTGATACTCTTAAGACACTTTTCCTGCCTGAAGAACTGTCCAAATAGCATGGCTTCAGCCTCGTCACTCACAAATTTCTACTCTGGCTATGCGGAAGCTGAGTTAGTCTCAAAGATTCTGAGTTTATAACATAGCACAGGGTCTCTTCTGGAGAGCCAGACGACATCACTATGGGCTGATATCAGGGGTCAGTGCCAGCGTACCCAGCACAGTCACATAACGACGGCATTTTGGATCTAGAAGGGGTGTTACTGAGCTGAAAATGGGATACTCACTTTAGTAAATCTTCCCTACATTGTTTCTGAGGCGCAAAACAAGCCACTGCCCAAACTTTAATCTCAATGCCAGCATAAAACTGCTTTCCTCGCATGTCCCAGACACCCTGGTTGGGTGTGGCTACTGTTTTATTCTTTGAAAAAACAAAAAAGAAACAAAAGAGAAAAGGTATTACAATCTAAGACCATTTTGATGTTGAAGAGGGGACAAACAAAACTTTATTTGGTAGGGTCAGAAGACAGAAGGTAATAAGGAGCACAGAGGCAGGTAAGTTCAAAGGTGTCTTTTTATGGGAATGGTGTGGAAGCAGCTTACCCGGCCTCCGTACTGCAGCATAGGAGCAGGAAGCACCCTGCCTGTGAGCTCCGTCATCTCACTGTGGACAATGATCCCAAACTCCTGCAGGTGTGGGTCAGGCCCACCCACCATGCTGTTGCTCTTTACCTGAGGAATGGAAAAGCTGCACATGAAACCAGACGGGAACTACGCCCCTCAGGATTGCTTACTCTTTGATTTTTTCATCTCACAGCGGGCTGATCTGAAGATCGCAATTTACTGACCAGTCTACTGATCTCCTCCTGTCTGTCAGGAGCAGATCTTGCTGTGGCTTTAATCATTGTGGATGTCTGATTGTCTGTGAGCTTCTTTATACATCTCTGTCCTGCCACTATATTACAGACCTGCAAAGAGACAAAGAGAAGCCAGGTTTTGTAGAAATGGGCTTATACATGAAGTCTTTGTCCATTTCCAGGGGAAAAAAAATAGTTATAAAATTCTATGCACAAAATACTTCAAAAAGACTAAATTCTATCACTAGTTTAGAACATCTTTTGTTTGTTTGTCTGTTTGTTTGTTTTTTAAGACAGGGTTTCTCTGTATAGCCCTGGCTGTCCTGGAACTCGTATATAGACCTGGCTAGCCTTGAACTCACAGAGATCCACTTGCCTCTGCCTCCCCAGTACTGGGATTAAAGGCATGAACACTTTTTTTTTTTTAAAGAAAAATTAATTCAAGAGATTGGCAAAAGAAAATTTCATTTGGCTTACCTCAAGTGGCAAGTATGTATGCTTTTGTTCTTGTCCCACTTGAAGGCAGGGAAGATGGGGGTACTTCAGCTGCAGACTATACTTTTGCTTAAAATACTGAGCTACTGTACATTCCATAGCTTGACCATTTTCTAGCTGCAAAGGAAAGCTAGAGGAAAGAAAGTGTATTTAGAACTTTTACTATTTTTTGAACAAGTAAACAAAACCCACTAACATTTTCTAAGTTGATTACGCACGTAAGAAACAAAGGTCAAGGGCTGATGATGCGGCTCAGTGGGTAGAAAGCTTGTTTAACATACTAAACAGTTTTTGATCCCTAGTGTTTGGTCCCCAGCACTACATAAACCACAAAAATAGGCATGGTGATACAGGCCTGTAATTCCAGAGTTTAGGAGGAGGAGGCAGGAGAATCAGGAGTTCAAGGTCACCCTCACCTATATAGTAAGTTTGAGGCCAGCCTGGACTACATACAGACTCTCAAAGGGGGTTGGGGGAGGCAGCAAGATGGCTCACTAGGTGAAGGTGCTTGCTACCAAGCCTGACAACCAAGTCCAGTCCCTGGGACCCATGTGATGGAAGGACAGAGGCAACTCCAGTAAGCTGTCCTCTGACTTCCACATGAGGAGAGAGAGAGAGAGAGAAAGAGAGAGAGAGAGAGAGAGAGAGAGAGAACATGCACACATACACACACACATACACACACACATACACACACACACACACACACACACACACACACACACACACAAATTAACTGTGAAAAAATAAACAAGGGCCAGGGGCTAGGGGTACAGCACAGTGATAAAGCCTTTCATTCAATCCCCAGCACTACCACCAAAGAATAAAAAAATTAAAAAATGGAAAAAAAAAAGAAAAAGTCTGATTACTTTCAGTTAAGTCATTTTAGTATTGTACCAGAACAATTCCATTGAAATTTCAATGTTTGTTGAAGCTGAGCAAAAAAAATATAAAATTAATTTTTTTTTCCACAAAAGACCTAGGTGTGGTGGCTCACACCTGAAACCCTAGTACTCAAGAGAGTGAGGCAGAAAAACCACTTCAAGTTTGAGGCCAGACTGGATGTATTTATGTCCACTGTGTGCATGGCTCAGAGTTTAGTAAAAGGCCATTGATCCCTTGGAACTGGAGTAATGGACAGCTGTGAACGCGTGTGGGTGCTTGGAACTGTATCCAGATCTTCTGCAAAAATAACAAGTTCTGCCGGGCGGTGGTGGCGCACGCCTTTAATCTCAGCACTCGGGAGGCAGAGCCAGGCGGATCTCTGTGAGTTCGAGGCCAGCCTGGGCTACCAAGTGAGTTCCAGGAAAAGGCGCAAAGCTACACAGAGAAACCCTGTCTCGAAAAACCAAAAAAAAAAAAAAAATAATAACAAGTTCTAACCACTGGGCCTTCTCTACAGGCCATCTTGCTGGCTACTGAGATGAGTAACTTCAAATAAGCACTTGGAGTCACCCACATACTTTTATTTGCTTAAGAGAAACTTTTTCTAAATGAACAGAGTATAGTTATTGGAGCCACACTTTTAGGTCTTCAAGTTGTCAGATTCCTAAGCCAGGGCAAATTCTGTAGTTTGGAGGTGACAAGACTAAATACACAGATTGGGGAGATGGGTTAGGAGGTAAAAAACCTTACTTTGCGGGGCTGGAGAGATGGCTCAGAGGTTAAGAGCACTGGCTGCGGCCAGGCGGTGGTGGCGCACGCCTTTACTCCCAGCACTCAGGAGGCAGAGCCAGGAGGATCTCTGTGAGTTCGAAGCCAGCCTGGTCTACTAAGTGAGTTCCAGGAAAGGCACAAAGCTACACAGAGAAACCCTGTCTTGAAAAAAAAAAAAAAAAAAAAAGAGCACTGGCTGCTCTTCTGGAGGACCCAGGTTCAATTCGCAGCACCCACATGGCAGCTCATAACTGTCTGTAACTCTAGTTCACTCTAGTTCCAGGGGATCTGACACCTTCACACCAATGCACATAAAATAAATAAAAAAAAAAAAAAACACCTCACTTTGCAAGCCAAATATCCTGAGTTCAACCCCAGGATTGTGCAATAGAAAGAGAAAACCAACTCCTAAAAGTTTTCCTCTAACCGCCACACATATACTACAGCATACTGATGTGCACATGAGGCAGGTGCGTGCATGCACAGGCATACACATGTGTGCGCACACAGAGAACACCATGGATACAAAGTTATAACAAGAAAAGAACTCCTAAGTAACCAAAATAATGTAATGTATACACACACACACACACACACACACACACACACACACACACACACACACATATTTAATATTACTTACGAGAGCCAAAAGCCAATTTTTTTTCATGTCAGACACAAGTTTAATGACCCTGATTACAAGATTGAATCTGCCATATATAGTAATTTTATAGGCACTTCCAAACATTGTCACTTAGGCACAGTTCTCAACAGACTACAAGTTGTGTGGTTGGTTTAAAGCAAGATTGAGTAAGTGGAAAGGAACAGGCTACTGGAGGCAGGAGTACACGACTAGCTGGGAGTAACATCAAGCTATAAAGAAAGGGAGAGACAACTACACAAATATGCAAAGCAGGATTTGTCTTCCCACAGAAGTCTGTATGATGGCTAGACCCCAGCAGAGTTGTCAAGTACTGAGAATTATAATACTATAATAATTGATGCTAATTATGACAATCATATTCTTTTCAAAATTCTTGTTTTGTTTGTATATACATATACGTAGTATATGTATGCATTTGTATTTGTGTGTGTGTGTGTGTGTGTGTGTGTGTGTGTGTGTGTGTGTGTGTGTGTGTACATGGGTCCAGCAGTCAACATCTTCTTCTATCACTCTCAACTTACTTTTTTGAGACAGAGTCTCTTACTGAACCTACAGTGCACCACCTACTGACTAGGCTGGCTGACCAGCAAGTTCTGGGGATCTTCCCATCTCTCCCCACAGGCACCAGGACAACAGACGTTCATCACCACCTAGCTTTTACATAGGCAATGGAGATCCAAACTCAGGAGTTCATACCTATACAGCAGGGACTGTATGGATTGACCATCTCCCCAGTGCAACTTGATCTACGTGTAGCATACTCGGTTCAAAAGGTAAACTGAACAACTATTCAACAAATATCTAAAATATTTTTTAAAGCTTTTGTGGTAAGTGAAGATTCTCGTGATCCCGAAACCACACTACTGTCTTTGCCAGTGACGTTCAGTGTCAAATTTCTACTGTATTTTATTGTTAACTTGGGTTTTTGTTGTCTTTTCTTTCATTTTGTGATTTTTCAGTTTTTGAGACGGGGTCTCTTGGGGTAGCTCAGGCTGGCCTCAAACTCACAGCAAGTCTCCTGCTTCAGTCTCCCAAGCACTGAGATTACAGGGATAAACACCATCATTCATGGCTACCGTATTATTTTAGATGTGATCAACATACGTTTGATGACTGGCTGGTCGTCTTGTCACATTACAAACTCGGTATTTTCGTTTCATCTGTCCACAGTGAGTCACCTCAACTTTGAGACCTGAAGAGGAATTTAAAAAAAAAAAAAAAAAAAGGCTAGATTATCAGCCAGGCGGTGGTGGCACACGCCTTTACTCCCAGCACTCAGGAGGCAGAGCCAAGCGGATCTCTGTGAGTTCGAGGCCAGCCTGGGCTACCAAGTGAGTTCCAGGAAAGGCGCAAAGCTACACAGAGAAACCCTGTCTTGAAAAACCAAAAAAAAAAAAGTGTTCTCTTTCTCACCACATTATTTTTTTTAAGATTTACTTATTAAGTATACAATGCTCTGTCTGCATTGCATGTGTGCCTGCACACCAGAAGACGGCACCAGATCTCATTATAGATGGTTGGGAGCCACCATGTGGTTGCTGGGAATTGAACTCAGGACCTCTGGGAGAGCAGCCGGTGCCCTTAACCGCTGAATCTCTCCAGTCTCATCTTTATAATCTCTTTAATCTCAGCACTCAAAAGGCAGAGGCAGGCAGATCTCTGTGAATTAGAGGCCAGCCTGGTCTACACAGCAAGTTCCAGGACAGCCAGGGCTGCAAAGTGAAACTCTGTTTCAAAAAACCGAGCAAAAAGTCAAGGAGCACATTACTTTGGAAAGAATTCTCATGCTCTCCTTACCTACTACAGATAACAAAGATTTCTCCACATACACACAAAAGGTCAATAACTTAATACAGGACAATATGGAGACAATTTCATCATAAAAAGGCAAAAAGATTCGTGATACTCAACCAATTTTTGTTTTTGGGACAGAGTCTCTCTACATAGTTCAGATTAGCCTTGCAGTTGTGATCTTCCTGCCACAGCCTCCTGACTGCTGAGATTACAGGCATGCTGTACCATGCCTGACTACATAACTGACTTCATTATTTCAGTCAATAAGTTTTTGTAAGTATCAATGTTCTGCTGTTTCTTTTCAAGTCTAAGTATATACTGAGACTCTGTAGATAACATGGCTAAAGAACTTATCCAAAGCCCCACTGCTAGGCTATCAGGCTAGGAAGGGACCCAGGTCTGTCTGACTCAAGCCCAGATCATCTGCACTGTATTGCACTCACTCCAAGATGACACTAACACAAATACCTACCTCTAATTTCTTTGGTAAACTTCACACGCTGGGAGTCTGTTAGAGGTTTCGTTTGTTCATTGATGTTCTGAATATCTAAAACCTCACACATGAACTCAATGATAGGCTGGGCCCGGTAGAAAGCAGTTGCAGATACTAACAAACAGAGAAAGGATACTTAGCATCAAGGAAAAGAAAAGGGTCCAAACCAATCAAACGGAAACCAGAGTTAACAGACAGAGTTCCAACCCACCATCAATATTGAGCATCATATTCCACATGGCAGGTCTCACAGACTGGTGAAAGCCGAACCAGACCTCTCTGCCGCCTCCCAGAGGGTGGTAATAACCTTCAGGAGGTGAGAAGAAAGAACGGCCCACAGGAGTGTACCTGAAGAGACAAGGGTTGGAATACTTCATGCAAAACAGTTTGAGGTCAGTGTGTGAACTGAAATCAAGTTTGAACTGTGACTTATGTCAGACCTTCACATGGCTAAATACAATCTGTGAAAAATCCTGACATTCGTGGGAAGGGATTCAAAGTAAGGTGCTAACCTCATAGAGGGGAGATGCCTTGTAATAACGTCAAGTGCTTGTACTGAGTCATCCGGGACTTCATTCAGGTGCCCAGCTAAAGCTTCCAAAAGCAACTGAAGGCTCACAACTGACACCCACTGCACAGACACTTTGAAAGTTTGGTCTTTGCTCTCACCCGGAAGGGTCACCTCCATGTCAACCTAGGGAAAAATACATCCATACAATCAGGTTCATAAGGTTGTGGGAAAGACCCTAGGAATACTCAATATGGCATATGCATAATGGATATTTATCTTAACACTTTTTGTAATTGTAGACCATTGGAAACAATGTAATTGTCCGTAAGTAAAGGAATAATTTAATAGAAAATATTATACATTAAAAATAAGGGGTCGGGCTGGAGAGATGGCTCAGAGGTTAAGAGCACTGCTTGCTCTTCCAAAGGTCCTGAGTTCAATTCCCAGCAACCACATGGTGGCTCACAACCATCTGTAATGAGATCTGGTGCCCTCTTCTGGCCTGTGGGGATATGTGCAGACAGAACACTGTATACATAATAAATAAATAAATCTTAAAAAAATAATAATAATAAGGGGTCAGAGGGATAGAATTGTAGGTAAGTGCTGTTACCGCCAAGCCTGATGACCTGAGTTTGACTCTGGGGCCTCATATGGTGGAAGTAGAGAACCAACTCCCACAAGTTGTCTAACCTCAACATAAACACCACAGCAGGTATGGACTCACCATACACACATGCTCACCACAGCAGGCACAGACTCACCATACATACATGCTCAAATATGCACAAATAGATAAATAAATGAAAACTTAAAAATAAAATAAGGAAGATACTACAATGTGGACGAACCTTGCAAATATTATGCTAAGTGAAATAAACTTGACATGGAAGGACAAACATTGATGATTCTGCTTAAATGAGGTACTCAGAATAGTCAAATTCATAGAAACAAAAGGTAGAATAGTGGTTACCAGAGCAAGTGGCAGTGAGTACATGGAACTATTGCTTAGTGGGTAGTGAGTTTCTATTCTAGATAACAGAAAGATTCTAGAATAGATGGTAGTACAAATGCACAACAATGTGAATGCTCTTAAAAATGGAGTCGTGGGGGGGAGGGCCCGCATGCCTTTAGTCCCAGCACTGGGGAGGCAGAGGCAGGTGGATCTCTGAGTTCAAGGCTAGCCTGGACTACAGAGAGGGTTCCAGGAAAGGCGTAAAACTACACAGAGAAACCGTGTCTCGAAATACCAAAAGAAAAAATCCCAGCACTCAGGAGACTGATGCAGGAGGAAGGAGGACCATGAATTCAAGGCAAGATTGAGCCATATCTCAAAAAAAATTTTGTCTTGAGTTAGAAAAAATAGTAAGGTGTATATTAATTGTACATAAATGGAAACAATACTTAGACATACTGTTTAATGAAAAAAGAAATCACAAAATGATATGCAAAAATAAGCATTTACAAAATATCTATGTAGAAAGATAACACACATGAAATATCTAAAGTGACATAACAAAGTGGGACCTTAACAAGGGAAATTGAAAGGTATAAACACACAGGAAAGTCAAGAAGCCACAGTTTTTGTGGACTGTCTAATAAGTTTAAAAGGTACATGTATTCACATATTACTTTGTTTTGTTTTGTTTTGTTTTTTCAAGACAGAGTTTCTCTGTGTTGTTTTGGTGCCTGTCCTGGATCTCGCTCTGTAGACCAGGCTGGCCTTGAACTCAGAGATGGGTCTAGCTCTGCCTCCTGAGTGCTGGGATTAAAGGCGTGAACCACCGCCGTCTGGCTCACATATTACTTATAAATTTCACTTAAATCAATAAAATTTTTGTGGTTCTAAGAATTAAGTTCAGAGCCTTGTGGATACTCGGCAAGTGTCACACCACTGAGTTACCTTTTAGAATTTTATATTTTGTGTACAGGTGTTTTGCCTGTGTATATGTATGTGTAACACATGCATGCCTGATGCCCAAGGAAGTAGGAAGAAGGTATTGGATTTCCTGGAATTGGAACTACAAATGGGTATATGAGCCACCATGTAGGTGCTTAGAATTGAACCTGGATTCTCTGCAAGAGCAACAAGTATTCTTAACCACTTAGCCATCTCTCCAACCCAACTTTTTAAATTTAAAAATACTTTTAAAAGCCAGTTTTTAGAATATTTACTTCCTTGTCTATTTATGTGTATAAGTTCAGGTTCCCACGGAAGCCAGAAGAGAAATAATGGACTTCCTGGAGCTTAATTACAGGCAGCTATGCTTCCTGATGTTAGCCCTGCAAACCAACCTCAGCCCTTGGAAATAGCAGCAAGTGCTCTTCACTGCTGGGCCATCTCTTCAGTACCTTTTACAAAGGTTTTATTACATCTATTCATTTATGTTTATGTGTGTGCACATGTTTGTAGGTTAGTATGGTGGTTTGGCACACGTGTGGAGGTCAAAGGACAACCTGTAGAAGTCAGTTCTCTCCTTCCACCCTCTGATTCCTATGGATTGAATCCAGATTGTCTGGCTTAGATTATACCAACCAAGCCATTTCAGTATCCCTAATTTTCAAATACTAGGAGCTTAACAATCCCCTATAACTGTAGCTCCAGGAAATTTGATGCCCTCTTCTGACCTCTGTGGGCATCACATGTCCACGTGCACAAACACACTGTCATGTGTTATGTGATATTTTGATTGTGTTCTGACAAATAAAGCTTGCTTGGAGTCAGAGGGAGGAGCTAGCCACTAGCTAACCAAAATTAAACATAGAGGTTTGAAGGACCGTAGACAGATAGGAGACAGGAAGTAGTAAGGTGGGGCCAAGAGAGGATCTTGGCCCTTTTGGACAGAGGAATGGAAGAGGTAGGAGGTGACTGGTGGCTGCTCCTCGCTTCTCTGATCTTTCAGGTTCTTACTCTGATATCTGACTCTCAATTTTTCATCGATAAATAATAATTAGATATTTTAGTCATGCACATAAATGTCATAAAAACATATATATTTGGGTTTTTAGAGACAGAGTTTCTCTGTCTGACAGCCCTGGCTGTCCTAGGACTCATTTTGTAAACCAGGCTGGCCTCAAACTCACAGAGATCTGCCTGCCTGAGTGCTGAGATTAAAGTTGTGTGCTGCTGCTACCACCACCTGGCAAAACATAATTTTTAAAAATACTTCTTTTGGGCTGGAGAGATGGCTCAGAGGTTAAGAGCACTGCTTGTTCTTCCAAAGGTCCTGAGTTCAATTCCCAGCAACCACATGGTGGCTCACAACCATCTGTAATGAGATCTGGTGCCCTCTTCTGGCTTGCAGGGATATGTGCAGACAGAACACTGTAGACATAATAAATAAATAAATCTTTAAAAAAAAAAAAAAAAAAAAAAAATACTTCTTTTATAACTCTTTGTTTTTGGTTTGTTTGTTTTTAACAAAGGGTCTCACTATGTAACTCTAGCTGGCCTGGAACTTGCTAGGTAGACCACATTAGCTTGGAACTGACAGAGATACACCTGCCTTTGTCTCCTGAGTGCTGGGATTAAAGATGTGTACCACCATACCTGGTACTTTTTTTACTATTAAAGTAAATATTTAAGAAAGTACTGTGTGGGGCTGAAGAGATGGCTCAGCAGTTAAGAGCACTGGCTGCTCTCTCAGAAGACCCAGGTTCAATACCCAGTACCCACACAGCAGTTCACAACTGTCTGTAACTCCAGTTCCAGGGGATCCGACACCCTCACACAGACATACATGCAGACCAAACAGTAATGCACATTAAAAAAAAAAAAGAAGAAAGAAAAAAGAAAAAAAAATGAAGAAAGTGCTGTGGCATTATTTTCTTAACTGAAGTTAGACAGCACTTTGTTCAAGTACATGGTTAATGTGAAAATGTGGAATAGCTGTAAGGATGACAAAATCAGTGTGACCCTAGTGTTCCTCTCACCTTTCATGATCAGCTAAGAGTCTGCAGTAACTGTGGAAAGATCTATCATCACAATGAAAAACAACTCTAAGAACTGAAGAGAAGGAGGCTGTGAGTGTAGGAGGTGTGCAGCTCCGAGTTCAAGCCCCATAGCAAGAAGAGGAACAGCAGGAGGAGGAGGAAGCTGGCAAAAGGCTGAGAAGAGGTGCTTGCCAACAAACCTGACAGCTGGAATTCAATCTCTTGAAAACCACACTGGGGAAGGAGAGAACCAACTCACATGCACTGTGGCGTGCACATGCCCCCACAATTAGTGACTAAAGGAATAAAGAACTAGAGTGACCAGAAAGGAGCGCAGTCGGCCGCTTGTAGTTACTACTAAGTAACGCAGAGTTTCTCCTACCCACACTTACCCTGTCCCGTCCAATTGGCAGTGGATGTGCTGTGTACATGTTTCTTTTGCCATCATAGCCGGGCTGCCGATCCCCAAATATCTGCATCTTGAAGTGTCGCACCATAGTGTCTACTACCTCCCTTAACAGTAATGGAGACAATGGCAGTTAGCTTTGAGACGTGATCAACAGAAAGCAAAGTGTCACCATGCCTTCAAATATACTCTGTGTGGGACCATGAGGAAAAAGTTGAAGTCACAAAGCTGACTCAAGTATGAAAAAAAAAAACACAAAGAAACTTAAGTAATAAGTAAGCATATAAAGTATACCTGTAATCCCAACACTGGGGAGGTGGAGGCATGAGATTCAGGATTTCAAAGTCATCCTTGGCTAAATACTGTGTTTGAGATCAGCTTGGACTATAAGACCCAGTCCCCCCCAAAAAAATAGACCAATGAGATGGCTCAGCAGATAAAGGTGCTTGCTACCAATCCCAGAACCCACATGGTAGAAGAAAACCATACACACACAAAATAAAGTAACTGTAGCTTTATAAGAATAATCTGCCTATTTCAGACTAAGCTTTGCATGGTTGTTTAACCATTACATGATGGCATAAAATCAGAGACAGGCGGTGGTGGCGCACGCCTTTAATCCCAGCACTCGGGAGGCAGAGCAAGGCGGATCTCTGTGAGTTCAAGGCCAGCCTGGTCTACATAGCGAGATCCAGGAAAGGCACCAAAGCTACACAGAGAAACCTTGTCTAGGAAAAAAAAAATCTGGTTTAAGAGCTATATATTCTTTCCATATTAGAAAGGGATAACTTCTCAGCTGGTCTTTTTTCTTTTGGAGACAGGGTCTTATGTAGCCTTGAACTCCTAATATTAAGTGTGGGGATGACAGGCCTGTTTACATGGTGCTGGGGACCAAATCCAGGGCTTTGTGGACAGTAGCAGGCATTCTACTATTGAGCTACAGTTTGGGCCCCCATCCTTGCTTTATTTTTATTGTACTTATCACCATCTAATAAATATGTTTTACTTGCTGATTTATCAAGTTTTGACCATTAGAATATAAACTTCTCAAATACACAAACATTGCCTCCCCAACAGTTTCGAGGGTCTTTTCCATCTCCTTCTACACCTATTTGATTATGAATTCACAAGGGTAGACTCCAGCACCTTGCTCCTGCGCATCCATTCTCACAGTGTGGAGGTAGTGGCCTGTCAGTTGAACACATGTACTTTCTCTTTGACTTCCTTTTTTTTAATCATACTCTTTCATGATTTTCAGGAAGCTAGCTCAGCTCTTAAGAGAACTTAATATGTTCAGTATGCTCATTCTCTTGGCAAGAATCTTGCCCTTCATTTGTTTGCATACAACGACGTCAAGAGCATTCTGGCAAACAGCAGAGACTTTTCTGACTTGTAGGATGGTAACACTCGTAGGTGTTTGTTTCTGAAGAACACCCATCCCTCTGATGCCTACAATTTCACTTTTCCTGTGTATTCATTCATATGTGGCCAAAGGAACTTTTGAAAGACCTAGACACAGCATGCCTTTCCTCTTTCCCTTCTTGTTCATTATTCTGCTGAGTTACTGAAAGGCTGTAATCCGAGCTGAAAGGCAAGTTTGTGCTGAGCCAGGTATGGTGGCCTGCACCTACAACCCCAGTCCCCAGGGCTGTTTGGGGTCTTAAGTTTACTTCCTACATGGATCTCATTCAGTACCACAGCTTTACCAACACCACCAACAATGCTCATGACTCTCAAATGCCTACCTCCAGCACACCTCTCCCCTGAATCCAATTTCACATACTCTGTACATCTAATAAATATCCTAACCTTAGCATGTCTAGCAGATCCTAGGGCTGAAAGCAGTTAAAAATAGTTAAGTTTGGTTCCCAGCACCCATGTTGGGCAGCTCACAACTGCCTATACCTCCAGCTTCAAGGAAAATCTGACACCCTTTCCTGGTTCTCATGGATAAACACACACAAACACATACACACACTTGAAAACACATGTTCTCACTTAGAAGGCTAAGGCTGGAAGATTTGAATTCAAGTTCACTGTTTTTGTTTGTTTGGTTCGGTTTGGTTTGATTTTGATTTTTGGTTTTTCAAGACAGGGTTTCTCTGTGTAGTTTTGGTGCCTTCCTGGATCTCACTCTGTAGACCAGGCTGGCCTCAAACTCACAGAGATCCACCTGGTTCTGCTGGGATTAAAGGCATGCGCCACCTCCGCCTGGCTCAAGTACACGGTAAACCAATTCTAGTCTGGGCTACATATCAAGACCCTGTGTCTCAGAAGAACAAACAAATACTGAGTATGGGGTACATGCCTACAATTCCAGTAGTTGGGAGGTAGAGACAAAAGAATCAGGAATTCAAAGGCAGCCTGGGCTATAAAGAGACCCTATCTCAAAATAAATAACTAAAATAAAATAAACAAGTCAATACAGAATGCAGTGCTTGTTGAACAGATTAAAAGTAGCTATTATTAGCATGTTTATTATGAGTGATCTCAGTTATATTCCAGCTGAATAATCATGAGCTTACACAACACTGAACTGTACCAGAAAGCCAAATTATTGCAGTATAAAAAAAAAAAAGATAGCCGGGCGGTGGTGGCGCACGCCTTTACTCCCAGCACTCGGGAGGCAGAGCCAGGCGGATCTCTGTGAGTTCGAGGCCAGCCTAGGCTACCAAGTGAGTTCCAGGAAAGGCGCAAAGCTACACAGAGAAACCCTGTCTCGAAAAACAAAAAACAAAAAATAAAAAAAAAAAAAGATAAACCAAAATCAAAACACCCCCTAAGTATCACCAAATAGCTTACTTGGCAGCAGAGCAAGAATCTTAGTCTAAGAGGCACTGGGGGATGAGCACGTGTAAGCAGAGACATGAGTGAGTGAGTGTATATGTGCTTTTGCTACAGGGTGTCTTCATATCAGTAAATGACCACGAACACATTAGCGCCTTATCAGAACCCCACTTGGATAATGCCAGAAATAAGCAGGGCTTCTCCTAGGGCTTTCTTTTTAATACTCTAAGACAATTCAGTACACTTTCATTACAAAGTGATAAAATCTGAATCTCCAGATAGTTCTACTTCCCATATACTAACATCTTCATCTATTGTTATAAACTTCTGGTACCTTTGATTGTTGAAGACCAATGACATAATCACTTTATCATACAATATGTATTTATTGATAGATAATGATACATTCAGCAGAGTTGCCAAAACAACCAAAGAGGATCCCATCATATACTTATTAAGAGGGTACAATAATGCCTACCTGCTGAGAGACTTCAGAAAACAATATGATACATAGTAAATTCTGTGAATTAGATACACATACCTACATAGTAAATTCTGTGAATTAGATGCACATCTACTCTTTCTAATCCTTACCTGTTAACTCTCCGAGGCCGTTTTTCTGGTTTAATATCCACATCATAGTGATACACATCTATTTTAGGGATCTGAACCTGAAAATGATTGGCTAACAGTCGAATTGGCTTCCCAACAGTTCCAGGACCAGGACGACGAGGTGGCTGGAAGAGGCTGGCTGGAGGTCCTAAAAAGATTGAAGACATACACTATGTTATTAGGTAGTAAGGAGAATATTCTCTCCATCATAATGACAGTTACAATTATTGAGAGCTTATTCATCACTGAACATGTTCTGATATAAAAATCTAGAATCTCTGGGGCTAGAGAGATGGCTCAGAGGTTAAGAGCATTGATTGTTTGTCCAGAGGACTCCAGTTCAGTTCCCAGCATCTACACAGCAGCTCAGTTATACACAGTGTATAACTCCAGTTCTAGAAGATTCAGTGCCCTCTTCGGGCCTTCATGGCACCAGGCACACATGTGGTACAAACCTGCAGGGAAAACACTCACACACATAATTGTTCTTTTAAAATTGAGATATTGAATATACTAAATTTCTCTAGATTTCTAAGTAGTTAGCCATGTTGCTATTATTTTTAACATAAGGATCAAAGTTAGACAGTTATGATTAATTCATCTCATACAGTGGCTTACAAAATTATATACATTTAAAAATAACATATAGCGGGGCTGGAGAGATGGCTCAGAGGTTAAGAGCACTGACTGCTCTTCCAGAGGTCCTGAGTTCAATTCCCAGCAACCACATGGTGGCTCACAACCATCTGTAATGAGATCTGGTGCCCTCTTCTGGTGCCCTGCAGTCATACATGCTGTATATATAATAAATAAATCTTTAAAAAAATAAAAAATAAAAATAATGGGCGGGCGGTGGTGGCGCACGCCTTTAATCCCAGCACTCAGGAGGCAGAGCCAGGTGGATCTCTGTGAGTTCGAGGCCAGCATGGGCTACCAAGTGAGTTCCAGGAGAGGCACCAAAACTACACAGAGAAACCCTGTCTCGAAAAACCAAAAAAAAAAAATAAAAATAAAAAATAAAAATAACATATAGCCAGGCATGGTCACACACACCCGTAATCCTTGTACTGAAGATGATAAGGGAAGAAAATTAAGAGCTCAGAGGCAGAATCCTCTCTCAAAAAACAATAGGTACCAGTAAGGTGGCTCAGTAAATAAAAACTCTGCTGCCAAGCTGGACAACCTTGTTTTGATACCCAGGACCCACATGGTCAAAGGAAGGAACTGACTCTGCTTGCATGATGTGCTCCACACATACACACACACACTGAATGCATTAAAATAATTAGGGGGCTGGAGAAACAACTTAGCCATTAAGAGCACTGACTGTTCTTCTAGAGGACTTGGATTTAATTCCTGGAATTCACATGGCAGCTCACAAACATATCTGTAACTCTAGTTAAAGGTGATCTGATTCCCTCTTCTGGCCTCTGTGGGCACTGGGCATGTACATGGTACACAGACATACATGGAGGCAAGACACTCAATATAGATAAAATTAATAAAATAATAAATAAATAAACAAACAAACAAACAAACCCAGGAGTGTGATATAGTGCATGCCTTTAATTCTGGAACTTAGGTATATGCCCATGTGTGTGTGTATGGAGGCCAGAGGTCAACATCAGTTATTCTCATCAATCAATCTCCACCTTACTTTTTAAAGATATATTGGAGCACTGCCCCTTCAACTTCTGCTTTTTCCATGGATGCTGGGACTCAGGTCCTCATGCTTGCACTGCCCACTAAGCCATCTCCCCAGCCCTACAAAACACATTCTCATATTTAGTTCTCCAAAAAGTTATGTAATGAATAAACAAAATAACTCATCGTTTACTCAACTCATTTGTACATACAACAGCTCTGTCTCCCTTCCCCTCCCTCTCTCTCTCTCTTCCCTCTCCCTCTTGACTTCTATTCCCCCTCAGAATAGAACCTCTATTAACCTCCATCAGCAAAGGATTGTGTAGACACAGGCTGCAGATACTTATCTAACCAATCTCCCTCTAATGAGAATATCAAGTGGACACTGGCCTAAAAAATAAGCATCTTTTCTATTATGAATAGGCACTGAGCAAAGTTGGTTGTGGTTACAATGGAAAGTTACAAGTTCTCTTACTGAAGTGACATTTCACTGAAAACAGAGACAATTCACTAAAAAGGAAAAGCTTTGAAATACTTGTCTGCTCTGTTCCAACATCACTTAAGGACACCACAGCAAGTATCTTCATGAAATTTGTATTGACAAATCACCATACAATAATATAATAGTTAAAGTACTGAAAATATCTTCCCATTATTCAATTAATTGTTCATTTTCCTCCTAATTTCAAAACTTCAAATGTAGCTGAGATACAACTTTATGAGAAAGATCCATCCCCTGTATACACAAGACCCTGTGTGCAGGGTAGGACTTAGCTCAAGTATAAGAAATCACTTGTGGACCAGCAAGATGGCTCAGCAGGTAGAGGCACTTAGCTGCCAAACTTGAGTTTGACCTATGACCACATGGTGAAAAGAGTGAACTGATTCATGCATGTGTGCACACACACCATAATTTTAAAAAGGAGTAAGTTGTTGCTGGGCGGTGGTGGCACATGCTTTTAATCCCAGCACTCTCGAGGGGCAGAGGCAGATGACGGATCTCTGTGAGTTCAAGGCCAGCCTGGTCTACAGAGCGAGATCCAAGAGAGGCACCAAAACTACACAGAGAAACCATCTCGAAAAAGCAAAAAAAAAAAGAGGAGTTTAAGTTGCTAAACTATCCTGTCTTCTATAGTAGACTCATAAATTCTCAGAAGAACTAGAATTCTAGTTCACGGTTTCCACACCTAACTTATCACCCAGCAAGTTGTATGAATTCAATAAACATGGAAGAGTATCATTAGTTCCAGGTAAAAACAAAACAGAAACATCAACCCTAACGTGCAAGATGTGACAATTATTTTTCAATAAAGCAAAAGCACATAATATATTAAAAAAGCACATATGAGCCGGGTGTGGTGGTGCACGCCTTTAATCCCAGCACTCGGGAGGCAGAGCCAGGCGGATCTCTGTGAGTTCGAGGCCAGCCTGGACTACCAAGTGAGTCCCAGGAAAGGCGCAAAGCTACACAGAGAAACCCTGTCTCAAAAAACCAAAAAAAAAAAAAAAGCACATATGAAAAGTACTATTGTGATGCACAGATGCACAGAGATCTATCTATTCTGGGTGTGATAAGGCAATTACTAATCAACCCAATTACATCATATAGACAAATCAGCTTTGTAAAAAAATACACTTAAACAATCATCATAACATAAAAGTCTTACTAGCCCACGCTGTTCTCAAACTTGGAACTAAAAATCTTCCTGCTCGGCTGCATGGGCCTTGGGTGCTCGTTACATGAATGTATTTCTGGCAGATTTTTCAAGAGGTGGTTATGAGCTGACTGCAGGTACCTTAATAAAGACCATGGCATCTTGATGTTCTTTCATACTCGTACTCTTGGAAAGAGTTGACTCTGTCATTGGGGTAAAGTGTGGTTAGGTTTGTAAGAACTCAGGCTGCACTCTGGCCACTTTCCGGAATTCTTTAGTGTGGGTCTTAGGGCATTGCATCTCACACCAGCTGATGGGAACCATCTGGATACCTGATTCACTGTCCGCTACCACTACCCCTAACTCATTTTCAGCAGTAGTCAGCATGTAATTGGACTGTGCATCACCGAGGGAGATAACTTTGGCCAAAACTATGTCACCTGGTCGGAAACTCTTGTAAATTTCAACCTTGTCTTTTTCAGTTGCTCGGATATCTTTTGGGGATAGTTCCTCGAAAAGCATTTTTTAGTGGTGTGGACCCCTACATACAAGATGTGTACTTTGGGGGCTGGAGAGATGGCTCAGAGGTTAAGAGTACTGGCTGTTCTTCCAAAGGTCCTGAGTTCAATTCTCAGCAACCACATGGTGCCTCACAACCATCTATAATGAAATGAGGTCTAGTGCCCTCTTCTCTCATGCAAGCAGAACACTGTATGCATAATAAACAAAACAAACAACAAAAAAAAGATGTGTACTTTGGCAAAACGTGAGTTGATGCTAGAGACCTTAAAGGTGACAACAACGCCCACATCTGGAAGCAACTGGGACTGTTTCTCTCATCACAGACACCACAGGAAGAACGCCATTCTCACTGGTCTTCGTCAGGCAGCCGGCCAGCGACTAAAAGATGTAGCCTGCAGATGTAGGTGTGGCTACCGGGGCTGCCTTCCTCCAAATTACACAGATGTTCACTGGGGATGGAGCATCTCACAGGTGGTGCCATGCTTGCCCCTGTCCAAAAACCTCCTGTTATTTTTTTGAGATTTATTTTTATTTTATATGTATGGGTGTCTTGCCAGCAGCATGGGGCACAGGGTCCCCTTGGAACTAGAGTTAGAGACAATTGTTAGCTCCCATGTGGGTGCTGGGGATTGAACCCAGTCCTCTAGAAAAGTAATCAGTGCTCTTCACCACTGAGCCATCAGCCCTGTGTCACAAAAGAGGGGTTAGGGCTGGAGAGATGGCTCAGAGGTTAAGAGCACTGACTGCTCTTCCAGAGGTCCTGAGTTCAATTCCCAGCAACCACATGGTGGCTCACAACCATCTGTAATGAGATCTGGTGCCCTCTTCTGGCCTGCAGTCATACACGCTGTACACATAATAAATAAATAAATCTTTAAAAAAGAAAAAAAAAGGGTTAGGTGAGTGACCACTTCTTTTAATAACCTTAGATCTATTTAGAAATTATATTCTAAAAATTTCATTCCAAAAGCCAATTTCTTTGAGTTGGGCAAGAAGACTTATTTAGTATAACAATAAAGCATAGTGGCTAAGCCTCAGGAACCAAAATACCTGAGTTCCGGTTTGGTTCTGGTCTTACCACTTCCTAACTGTATGGCATTGGACCTGTCTCTTGGTTTCTCTATATCTCAGCTTCCTATTCTATTAAAACAGGGGTATGTGGCAGTCCCATCTATCTCGTAATACTGTAGTGAGGACTCCAGGAGATGATGTCTATAAAAGGCTTAACATAGCACCTTGTAACAGTTATATATCCAGTAAGTGTTAGCTATTATAATGATAGCTGCATAAAGATTATAGTTATTTAACATGCCCACAGATATTCTGGTTTTATATTCGTGGCATCCCTACAACTTTTTGACAGTCAAAAAAAACGACTTTTCTAAAAACAAAGCATTCATGATTTAACTCAAAATGGATGAGATCACCCTTAAAGAAGGAGGTTGTCAGAGTAGAAATGAGACACCCCACTCTGGTCCTCATTTCCCCATGGAGCTTTGAGTCTTGATGAAGTCGTTTACACTCTTTGAACCTTGTTTTTTCATCTGTAAAATGAGGATAGATGTCTGCCTTGTCTACTTCCCAAAGGATCAAATGAACTAATAGGCTCTGTTTGGTTGGTTGGCTGGATTTTGAGGGGTTTTGTTATTTTTGTTTTGATAGGGTCTTACTCAGTGGTCTAGACTTTGGACTCACAGTAATCCCCCTGCTTCAGCCTTTCAAGTGCTAGGATTACAATTATAAACCACCTGATCTGGCTCATATGAACTCATAATTATTAAAGTACTTGCTTTTTAAGAAAATATTTATTTTGATGTATTTATTTTTTGTGTGGGTGTTTCTTCTACATGTATGTCTGTGTACCACACAAATGCACTGCCCACAAGGCCAGAAGAGTGTGTTGTATCCCCTGGGACTGGAGTTAGAAACAGTTTCTCAGCACTATATGTTTGCTGGGAATTGAATCCAGGTCCTCTGGAACAGCACCCAGTACTCTTAACCACTGAGTCATTTCCCCAGCCCATATTAAGTATTTTACAAATTATAAAAGCACTACAAAGGGCTGGGGGACTGCAATTCAATGGTAGGGCAGTTGCCCATCATTCATGGAGCCTTGGGCTCCATCCCAACCACTGCAAAAACAAATAAATAAACAAGCAACTACAAAATAAAAAAGAACCATGCAAAAATTAAGGTTATAATCACTAGAACCAAAATGAATGATAAAGGTCATCTAATTTTCTAAGTTACAGACAGAAGATGAACCTAGGCAGTGGCAGAGGTAAGCAGGACCAAGAGGCCTCCAGGGGTTTTTTGTTTTGTTTTGTTTTGTTTTTTGTTTTGTTTTTGTTTTTTCCAGGGATTGTTGGAACAAAAGTTCCAACACACAGCGGGTGGTGGCAGTGGCAGCACACACCTTTAATCCCAACACTCTGGAGGCAGAGGCAGGGGAATCTTGAGTTCACTGTCAGCCTGGTCTACAGAGTGAGTTCCAGGACACCCAGAGTTTTTATACAGAGAAACCCTGGCTCAAGAAACCAAAAAAAAGAACCAACACACTAGATCTAGGCATGGTCTAATGGAAGTAAAAAAGTGCTTCTCCAGTTCTAAAACAGCCTGGAAGCAACACCCCACAAGACCCACTGACTCCCTTTGTTCCGATTCCATGTTCAACAAGCAATTATTATTTGTTATTAACTAGGTTTCCAAGGTAGTCAGATACCAAGACAAAGTCTGTCATATAGCAGACAGGAAAAGTTACTCAACAGAGAAGATCTATGTAAAATTTCAGCTTAATCATTGGTGTCTTTTAAACAGGATTAATGAATATTCGTTCTCTACAAATTAAGCAATTCTAAGAAAACGGCTAAGTCTTCAGACCTGCAAAATCTAAAATCAAGCAGAAGAGGGTGGGCAGCTGGTTTCCTGGGCAGTTCCTTTCATCACCATGCTGATTCTTTTCATGAAACTCAGCTTGTACACATAGTTACATAGTCTCTATATCAGCTAATAATTGCAACAGTTGCTTCAATTACAAGTTACTCATGGGAGGGAAGAGAAGAAACATTTGTTGAACATCTGTACTACTCTTGACCAGAAGACGTCTCACAAACGTAGCATTTCATTCTCACTTCAGTCTTACAGCACATAGTAGCCTGGTTTTATAGAAAAGGAAATTGAAGCTCAATGGAATTAAATTGTGGGGAGGTGGTGGTGGAGGCAGGGAGTTACACAAGTATGAAATTACTATATTAGATTTGAATGGAACTCTGACATATTCCTAAAGCCACACGCATGCTTTTATCTAGGGAACCAGGTCTGAAGTAACTTAGCATACTCTGTTGAGGTTTATCCAATATATAACTAACCAATGTAGCCCAAGCTGCTTCCAACTCTTTCTCTTCCTTTCCCCAGCCTCCCGGAAGCTGAGATAAGTATGCAACAGCACAGCAGGCTCAAATCTGTTTGTTTATAGTCAGGGTCTCAAGTAGCCCAGGCTGACCTAAACTCCAGATCTTCTTGCCTCCACCTCCCAACTGTTAGGATTATAAACATATACCACCATGCCCAGCTAAGCCAATTCATTTTCCAAAGGTTTATGAAATTTGAATGTGCGGGCCTTTAATTTTTTTAAATGAAGATAGGGTTTAATTACTCAGTTATGTGAATATGTTCAAGTAAACAAACCTGCCAAGTTTCCAAATTCAAATAATAAACCTAATTTCCTATGTACTTAAAAAGCATACAACTAAGTCCACTATATAGATAGACAAGGTTTAAATATGAAAATTAATTCCATCACTGCCCCTAAACCTTGCCCTACTTAGCCAAGTCATTAGCAACCTGTTGGGGCTTGAGACAGAAGCACTAGGCTCCAATTGCAGAGCATGCATGAGAGTTTGGAATGCTTCCTTGGGTTGGGCCAGAAAGGGAGATAAGCCAGGGCCCACCCATACCATTCATGAGAGTTGGGAATGCTTCCTTGGGTTGGGGCAGAAAGGGAGATAACCAGGGGCCACCCATACCCGAAATGAATCCCACAGCTTCAAAAACACTTTCTCATTTGCTCCTCGCAAGCACTCATAACCCAATTAAAAGAGAATGCAGGACATTGATCTCTGTGTTGGGGAGTCCTGGCTGACGACTCTCCTGTCATTCAAGGTCTAGTCCACAGCACTCTGGGTCCGACAAACTGACAAGATACCAAACTTCAGGACCTCGAAAAAAGAATGGCTTTCAGGGGTTTGGGGATGAGTGGGTCTCCCTTATCTGAGGAACCAGCTGCCAATGCAAAGAAGAAAGGGGATTCGGCCCCACACCAAGAGCACCCCTGGTAAAGGTGGGAGGCCTTCCAGGTTTGGGCCGGGTCTCCGCGTGCACCAGACACACGGTCCCTCTGTCGAGGCCCGGGCTAGCCCCGCGGCGACCGTGGAGCCACGGTTCCCGTCTCCCAGAGACGAGGGGACCGGGGACCGGGGACCCTTCCTTCCCGGGGCCTGGCAACCCGCATCCGGGTCCGCGCGAGCGGCGGCGGGGCCGCGACAGTCCCTTCCGCCGGGTCCGTCCGCCCTCCCCTAACCCGGCCCGAGCTCCGGGGTCCGGCCCCGGCCTGAGCGCGCTCCTCACCGGGTCCCAGCGCCTCCATGGCGGCGACAGGGGCTGCCTCGCTCCGGTCCCCGGCGCCTCCCGCTCCGGGCCCCGCCGCCGCCGCCGCCGCCGCTGCCGCCGCCGCGTAACGCTTGCTCTCGGGAATATTGGCGCTGAAGCGGCGCCGCGAAGACGCGGGCGCTGGGCAGGGGGCGGCGGCGGCGGCGGCGGCGGCGGGGGCGCCCGGCCCGGGGACAGGGACCCGGCTTCTCTCACGGCTCTTCCGGCCTCGGCGACAACAAAAACAATCCCCGCCGCCGCCGCCGCCGCCGCCAGCTGGAGCGGGAGCGGGAGCGGGAGGCGGCGCGCGCCCGCCGGGCCGGGCGGAGGGGAGCTGGGGGGGGGGGGGGCGGCGCCGGGCGCGCGCACCCGGAGTCCCGGCCGGCGGCGCAGAGGGCGCGTGCGCGGCCCCGCAGCGCGCGGGGTCCGGCGAGCGGGCCGGAGGTGGGGGGTCGGGAGGGGGGAGGGGGACCGCGGCGGGCACGGGCGCGCGCCCGCCGCCTTCTCTGGGCTCGGCCCTCAGGGCGCGCGCGGGCTCGCCGCTCGGCCGACCCTTCCTCAGGCGGCGATGGGTCCCCGAATCCGCCCCTCGAAAAAGAGCGGGCTTCTAGTCCTTGCGGCCCCGCGGGCGCCGCCCTCCGCCTCTTCGTCTCAGGCAGCCCCTCTCCTCGCGCACCCCAGATGGCCTCCTCTCTCTCCACCCCCCCCCACCCCACCCCGATCGCCCTTCATTCATTCCTTCAGCCAACACCACACACACACACACACACACACACACACACACACACACACACACACACGCACACGCACGCATCCAGTCACCTTCCTTACCTGTGCTGCTGCAACAGCAGGTCCTCTTCTTGGTCCCACGACAGGTCAGCATGGCCACCGAGCCTCCGCAGCAGTCCACACTCCAAGGCAGCGTGTACCTCCCGCAGGCGCCGAGGGCTTAAGGTTTCCAGTCAGGGCTTTATTGAAGACCCGACCCTAGTCCGGGCGTGGTGGCACACGCCTTTAATCCCAGCACTCGGGAGGCAGAGGCAGGAGGATCTACAGAGAGAGATCCAGGACAGGCTCCAAAGTCACACCCAAGAAACCCTGGTCTGGAAAAACACAAAAACACACAAAATGACAGGACCGTAGGGTGTCTAGTCAACTGAATGGGGCAGCGGCGGTCTACTCGTTTAAAAGGCATTACATCGTAGTGTTCTAGTTTGCTGGGGCCGCCATTGAGTATCGCAAACTGTGTAGTTTAATGGAAATGCATTTTCTCTCAGTTCTGGAGACTGAAATTCTAATAAGATAGGGTAGCAGGGGTTTCTTCTGAGATTTTCCCCCTTAGGTTGTAGATGTCTGTCTTCCTGTGTGATCACACGGCCTTCCCTTTGTATCTTCTATTTTTAGATTTATTAATATTTTACGTGTCTAAGTGTTTTGCCTCCATGTATGTGTTTGTGCCTTCGGAGGCCAGAAGACCGCACCGTATCTCCGGAACTGAAGTTACAGATCGTGTAAACTGCACTAGGAATCGAACCTGGGTCCTCTGCAAGAATAACAAGTGTCCTTAACCACTAAGCCATCTCTACAGCCCGTAGCCTCTTCTTCTTATGAGGAAGATGGCTCAGCGGGTAAAGGCACTTTCTACACTGACAACCTGAGTTCGATCTCCAAGGCCGATACGGTGGAAGGAGATAACTGACTCTTGGAAGTTGTCCTCTGACCTCCACATGAGTGCCATGGGTACACCCCATATAAACAAATACATACATACATACATACATACATACATACATACATACATACATGCTTTAAATTGTTTTAAGAAACAAAACCAGATCTGAGTGGTGGAGCACTTGGGAGATGGAGGAAGGAGAGGAAGAGTTCAAGGCCAGCCTCTGCTACCAAAGAATTCAAGGCCAGCCCGTGCTTTAAAAGATATTGGGGGGGGGGGGGGCTGGAGAGACGGCTCAGAGGTTAAGAGCACTGACTGCTCTTCCAGAGGTCCTGAGTTCAATTCCCAGCAACCACATGGTGGCTCGAAACCATCTGTAATAAGATCTGGTGCCCTCTTCTGGCCTGCAGTCATACATGCTGTATACATAATAAAAAAAAAAGAGACATTGTCTCCAAAAATAAATTTAAAAAAATAAAATAAAAACCAAGTCAAATATTAGCTTAAATAACAACGATGGGGGGGGGCAGAAAATTGGAGGAGAAAGTATTCACGAAATAAATGTGGGCTAAGGAGATATGTCCGTCAGTTAAAAGATGCAGCAGCAGTAGGCAGCCAGGCATGATGGCCACACTTGTAATCCCAACACTGAGAAGGCAAAGTCAGACATGTCACTGGAGCTCACTGGCCAGACAATTTGGAGAGCTCCAGGCCACTGAGAGACACTTTCTCAAACAAACAAACAGGATAACTCCTGAGGAAGATCCCTGAGCTGCTACACACACACACACACACACACACACACACACACACACACACACACACACACACAAGAAAGACTGGTATACAACTAAAAGGAAAAGAAAAAAATAGCTAGAAGCAAGGCGTTTGGTTTGGTTTGGATATTGTTGTTGCTGGCAGTTTTGAGACAAGGTCTCATGTGTCCCAGGCTGACCTAGAACTTGCTGTGTGACCTAGGATGACTGAACAGCCAATAGCGAGGGAGGAGGTGTAGGTGGGACTTCCAGGAAGGGAGAGTAAGTAGGAGGAGGAATTTAGGCTCAGAAAGAAAAAGAGATGCCGAATAGACAGCCGGGGCCAGACAGACACGGAGGAAGCAGGAGAGTAGGACATACAGAGTGAAAGAAAGGTAAAAAGCCACGAGGCAAAAAACGAAGATGAATAGAAACAGGTTAAATTAAGTTAAAAGAGCTAGTGGGACAAGCCTAAGCTAAGGCTGAGCATTCATAATAATAAATCTCCATATCTTTGAGAGCTGGTTAGCTGTCCAAAGAAAATTCCAACTACACTAGAGTTAAGGGTAGTTATAAGGTGCTGAATACCAGTGCTGGGAACTGAACCTTGGTCCTCCGAAAGAGTAGTATACGCTTTTTTCTGGCTTTTGTTTTGTTTTCGAGTCAGGGTTTCTCTGTGTAGCTTTGGCTGTTCTAGAACTCATGTAGCTTTGGCTGTTCTGGAACTCACTCTGTAGACCAGGCTGGCCTTGAACTCAGAGATCTGCCTGCTCTGCCAGTACTGGGATTAAAGGTGTGGGCTGCCACCACCCAGCTAGGACACACTCTTGATAGATAAGTCGTCTCTAGCACCAGGGCTCAAGTTCAAACCTGGTAGCCAACCTCCCTTCCCCACCTCACAGCATTTCCTCATACAATCTAAACAATGTTGGTGGAGCTGGAGTTGAAGCTTGGTCGGGAGAGACCTTATCTCGCATGCCGGAAGAAGTCCTGGGTTCAGTTCCCCAGCACTGCCAAAACAGGTCATGGTGGCATATGCCTGAAATCCTAGCAATTCGGAGGTGGAGGCAGGAGAATTAGACGTTCAAAGTCATCCTTACCTACACAATGAGTAAAAGGCTAGCCTAACCTACATGAGACCCTGCCTCAAAACAAAACTTTTTAAACAATGCTGGCCTGGTTTGAGGCAGACTTTCCCCCTTCAAATATCCCAACCCTGTCTTTGTTGGCTACTCCATTATCTCCATTCCATTCTCAAACCCTCTTCCTCTCCATTCCATTCTCAAACCCTCTTCCTCTCCATTCCATTCTCAAACCCTCTTCCCAGTCACCCTTTCTGTTGCAGTTCTGTAGTCACTAAATTGCCCCGTGTCTCAGTTCGGGAAGCCTACCTACCCTCCGCTTCCTGCTCTGCTTCCTGTGTGGCTGAGAAGCCATGCCTCAATACCACTTCCCCTTCAGATCTCTCTGCCCGTTCGCTGCTCAGCCCCCTGTACCTCACACACTTCCAGGAAAGGGATGGGTAGAGAATTCGCCTCTATTGCCAATACTTGAATTATTATTTTCTCCTACTAGGTCCTCTTGTCCCCTGGCCACCACTGTAGGGCCTCCTTTGATGATGCAATCAACTCAACTCCTTGCTTGTATCTCAGTCCAGGCCTGGCTCCCCACTGCTCTATAAATCCTTGAGGGTAGGTCTGAAGCGTGATCCTAATTAGTCTCTACTAATGTTCAGACAGAATAGAGCATCCTGTCTCTATGAATCCTTAGACTGAATAGGTACTGAGATCCTGTCTCTACCCACCTTATATTCCTGTCTCTGCCTCCCATGTGCTGGGATCAAAGGTTTGAGCCTCCCAAGAGCTGGGATTAAAGGTGTGTGCTACCGCTTCCGGGTAGCAAGCCCAGAGGTAGTACACATCTTTAATCCCAGCACTCAGGAGGCAGAGCCAGGTGGATCTCTGTGAGTTCGAGACCAACCTGGTCTACAGAGTGAGATCCTGAACAAGCATCAAAACTACACAGAGAAACCTTGTCTCAAAAGAAAAGGTGTGTGGCCTCCGTGGTTAACTAGTGTCTAGCTCCACCCTCTGATCTCCAGGCAAGCTTTATTTGTCAGAACACAAACAAAATCTCATGCAGCAACACAGGTCTTAGGCTTTATTCAAGTATTCAGATTTGTGTCTCTGTTTCCTAACAACCTTCCAGGTAGCAAATGCCTTTGGGGGTGGAGCTTATGGAATGAACGAATGAGTGAACAAGTGATGTTTCAATGGTGGAAGCTACAAATGGTATAGTGTTGGAGTCAGATTCTAGATGAGACTCTCTGGGCAAAGTGCCAAGCTTCTCTGAGTGAAGATTTCTTTTTTTAATCAGATGGGTCTGGGCTCCAATTCCTGTTCTGTAACTTACTAACCCTAAGTACCTTCCCCTCACCGGCTGAAGGTCATCTCAGACAGGGAGCTGAATCCTCTAAGCCCAGTGTGTGCTCTTGTGTGTTGGGGATCCAGTGAGCACGCACCCAATAATTGCTACTTCTTGTTCCTTGTTTTTCCCCAGCTAAAACCCATAATGCAGTGTCTCTGTTGAGCTGCTGGGATTGTCCCTCGAGAGACAGTATGCTCCAGATCTCAGCCCAGTGTAAGAGAAGAGAACAGATCCCTCAGGGACTAAACATGTTTACACATTCTGTACCCGAGCCACT